TTGTGGGTTGTTCTGGTTGCAAAAACTTAGGCTTTTAAATGGGCATTGCCCACTATCCTTGGGGGGGGGGGGAATGCCATTTGGAAGACCATCAGATCACAGATGTCTATGCCATTTTTAGTTTTCTTATATAAAGAGTGCTTTGAGACTTCAAATTCTAGACTGAGATTGCTGTGCACTGAACAAAGAAGAGGTATAGTCAATCCTACTTTTCGCACATATTATACAAGTGTTAAATCTTCTTAGAAACCCAAAATGCTTCTACTTACATTTCTGGATTTGTGGGAAAGGAACGCATTGAGGAATTTCTAGTTTACTTTTTGCAATGTGCAACGGCAGTCAGGATTTTTTTTCATTAGCTAATCCTGTAACTAGTTGTTAGGTTCTGTCTGGAACCATGCAAATGTGTTGTTAGCTTCTCAACCGCTGTTGGGCCTAGATTTTGAGTTGCTGGAACTGTCTGGTTGCAATTATAGCTAAGGGTGGGAAACACTCAACAATGCATTTTGTAAATACCTTTCTGTGAACAGAGCAACGCAGTTATCTAAAAGTCCTTGATTAAAGATAGCCACTGACCTTGGTCACCTCCTGAGATGAGGGCGCAGATTGCTTGCAAACATTTGCAGATGCGGTTTTGGGGCACAGTGAATCCAAAAGTCAAACTAGTAAGCATGGCACAAAATGATGGAATAACAGGTTTGGGGTATACATCTTTACACAAGGAAAAACTAAAAAAAAAATTAAACAGCACTTTGCAAGGTCTCTTTGACCCAGCACCTTTATTCTTATGCTTTTTTCAGTTTTCTCCATAACTTCAATAGGAGTAGAACTGAACCCAAATTATGCAAAAATAATATCAAATTTTCAGTAAATTTAGGAGGCCCTTTCCTCTTAAAAAAACAACAACACAACAGGTTAGTTTGGTCCCTGTCATGATTGAGGAATATCTGGAACATAGAGTTGTGAGAGACTGATAACAAAAGTTTTATTCATTTTATTTTCAGTACTCTTGGGGGCCGTTTAACCATACCTGTCAACAGAGGGTTAACAAAATAATGTGAAAATACTCTTTACTACCTTGGCTGGTTTCTTTTCTTTTTTAATGCAGGAAGCAGTAGTAATAGATTTCCCATGCTTACTAAAACAAGCTTTTCTAGAGCAGTAATTTGCTGAAGCAAGCAAGAAATGGTCTGAAATACTTGATCCCAAGGTTTATTTTTAGCATGTTTCTTTAACTATTCAGCCTCATTGTGTTACCCTACTCCATTCTTATAACCTTTATCTACCCTTAACTGTCTTTTTTTCTTCCCGGTAGATTATCATAATCTACTGCAAAAGGCTTATTGCAGACTGATTGTAAGACTTGTGGCAACAGCAGATGTGGTTAGGTTGGGCTGAGCAATGCCTCCTACTGCTGTATTCCAAGAGTGACAGTTCAGTAAACCTTTGATGACTGAGGAGCCCTGACTTGCCTACAAGGTCACTTAGAAATAGGGAACATTACGCCTCTCTCAGAAAACACGAGAGGAATTCAGCATTGCACCCTTCCAATGGTTCCATCTGTGCAAGCATTGCAACCTTTGCTAGATGGACCAGTTCTCCTCTCCTCTCCTCTCCTCTCCCCCCCACTGTTCTGGGGGTTCTCCCAGCCTCCCCAGAATGAATTTGGAGGGGGGGGCATGGGGAAGGGGGCCAAGCCCTGTTGTGCAAGCAGAAGTCTTTGTGCGGGACTTCCACTGATTAGGTGAATCCCACCCCGTGAACATAAAGCATAGAGTTGTTGAGTCATGCAAAAACCCATAACGAGCAAGTTGAGGTTAGCCTAACATCCAGTAATCTGGAATGCTTTAACTATCAGCTGTATATTTTTTTCTGTGGACTTGAGACTGGAATGGATGGCTTCGTATGATGCTAGGTTACTTAGGACAGTAACATGGAATATCCTTCCTGAAACACTTTTTCTAGTTTAATGCTAAGCTGAAACGATAAATCATACCCAAGCTTGAGTGCTGTGTCTATGTGTATGTACAGGGAGGGATTATGCTTCAGTTCTGGAGCATTCTCCTATCTGTACTAGTGTCAACTATGATTACCTGGTTTAATATCTTGGTCCTCAATTTTAAGTAAGCAGGGATCACCACAAGGATAAACTTCCAGGTACAGACATTGCACATACACACTGCCACCCAAAGAAAAATCATATGAATTTATGTTATTGGACCAGAATGTATTTTGTTCGGAAATTAAAGAATGAATGAAGCTTATGTTATCTAAAGGGCACACAGGGGAAGTAATCTTCTGAGTTGAAAAAGTGATTAAAATGCTTATTCAAAAGAAGCAGCAGCAAAATAATGTATTTGCACTTTGGAACATTACCCCAGGTAGATATCCCCCCCCCCCCCAGTTTTGCCACTTATCACTATCGGGGTGTTTCCCTCTGTCCTTTTGGGCAGTGTTCAAATTATGAGGGGGGAAGTAAGGGTTGTCCTCTCCTCAATTTTATCCAGATTATGCTCTCCTTGTATTCTTCTAAAATGCTTAACTTAAGAGAGTAAGACCCCTCTGTCCTCCTGTAATTCAAGCACTGCTTCTTGAGTCTAAGCCAGGTCTCAATATACAAGCAACCCTGAGAAGGAGATCTTGAGAGAAAGGGCCTCCTTTCTTATGACATACTCGTCTGACCCATGTACTACAGCTTGCCTGTAGTACACAGGAACAGAAAGATACTCATACCAACACACACAGAGAGGCAGGCAGTCTTTCTCTGCCATCCCGCACTTCAAATCTGTCACAGTATGGAAAACAGAATCATCCTGTAAGGGAGGATGCCAACGTAACTGCGAACATTCAGATCTGAATTTTACAGCTGCTGTTTTAGTCCTAATGCATCACGTGGTTTTACCCCTTGAAATTTGTTGGATCTTCTTCCTTGGGCAGAGCAGTTCCCGGTCCCTTGTAAGTGCCCTGCTCCTATGCAGAGCACAATCCACACAGCATCTGTAGCGCACAGTTCATTTGTTACTAAGATATAAGGGAACAGAACGTGGGAGTTTGTCATATTATGTAATTTTAACCATGCAGGTGAGTTTGACCTGTGCATACTGATGCAGATTGTAGGGATCCAAAAGTAAGCTCCTGTAAGGGCCCTTCTCCTGTGAATATGCCAAAGAGGTGGGGGAAGAGGAGGAGACATTTCAGCAGCTGTAGCAGCCAGTATTTGAAATATTGATAAATAAAGACCTATCCTTGACTTTATGCTATATAATAATATTTGCTATCTGCTCATAAGAGTAATTCTCTCACTTTGTTGCTACATGGGTTGGTTCTGCCTGTCTTCCAGTTTAAAGTTGTGAATTTAAAAAATATGTACTCTTGAGGAGGGAGCAGGAAATAAGTCTACTAAATGAAAAATTAATATTTTTTGAATCAGTTTCATGTGCATCATACACTGCATAAAAAGGAATCTTCGTGCTATTGTAGGATCACATCAGGATTCATTTTCTGCAGTTCTTAAATCAGTGTCCCTTTGTGCCTCTGCACATTGGTAAAACTGTGGAATGGGGGGACAGGGAGAGACGTTTATTGAAAACTGTGCTAACTGTGCATGTACAGTAGTCAAAACCTACTAATGAAAACAGAAGGAATGGTAGAATACTGACTGTTCAGTGCCATTTCAGAAGCACACTGTGTTATTCAACACTCCCCGCCCAAAAGAATCCTGGAATCAATTTGAATGGGGAGGTTTGTAGGGAAAGAGAAATGGCAAACTTGCAATTCTAACTCAAGCACAATGCTGTGATCTTTCAGGTGTTTGCATCATCTTTCTCTGCTTTCTGTGGTAATTTCACAAAGATGAACCTGTCTTATTGTTTGAGGAGAGGTACTTTTTTTTTCTTTTTACAGAGTACATCCTTACTCCTTTCACTACCTTCATCATCTCTGTGCCTCAATATGAAATTATGCCAATTACCCTAAATCTGTTTGTATATATCGTACACTAAAAGCCATAGTTGTTCATGTACTGTGCATGTTTTATCCGTTAATGCACTTCATGTAGTATGTGAATAATGCTGCAATCCAGAGATTTAGGCTACATGCTTTGTTGAGTATATAATGATTTCCTGAGAGTGAAAATGGAAAAGGACTTCTGGATCTGACCAAAGGCCCATCTAGTACAGCATCCTGTGTTCACAGTGGCCTGCCAGGTGTCTGTGGGAAGCCCGCAAGCAGGATGCAGGTGCAGCAGCACACTCTCCCCACATGATCCCCAGCAGCTAGTCTTCCGAGGCAAGCTGCCTATGACTGTGTAGGTCAGTGCTTTCCAAACTTGGGTCTCCAGTTGTTTTTGGACTACAACTCCCATCATCCCTAGCTAGCAGGACCAGTGGTCAAGGATGATGGAAGTTGTTGTCCAAAAACAGCTGGAGACCCAAGTTTGGGAAACACTGGTGTAGTTAATACATCAACACCAATATTAGTAACCATTGATAGCCTTATGCTCTTATGAGGAAGAGGACAATAACCTGATAGTATATTATGTTTACTGTAAATGTGCCTGGGATAGCATCCTAAGGGATTCACCCTTGAAAATTCTGCCTCCAGGTATGTGTTGAGGGGGGAAATAAATTTTGATTAACCTAGTGTCTTAATTGCAGCATACAGCATCCTCTTGGTTTTTTGTTTTGTTTTTTACGGCATGGCTGTAGACCTACTAGTTGAAATTCTGAACAAATGCACTGCTCCTGATTTTAATATTCATTTTCTTTTATTTTTCCCTTACTGCTAATGTTTTGATTTACCCTTCTCCCTTTCTTTTTATCTCTTCCTCTCCCTCTCCCTCCAGAGCAGCTTGTTGGCGGAGTGTGCTCACAGGGAGATGATTCCTCATGAAGTCTCTGGATCCCCTTCAGAAATCAAATGTGACTTTCCACTTAGCAGACTGAAATCGGAGCCAGCCAGGCAGTGAAGCCACAGAAGCGGAGGGCAGGGGCCGGTGAAAAATGAAATCCAACCAGGAGAGGAGCAATGAAAGCCTGCCGCCCAAGAAGCGAGAGATCCCTGCCACCAGCCTGCCTTCCGAGGTGAAGCCGTTAGTTCTGGCCAGTGAAAACCACCGAGCGGACAACTTAACATGGCTCTCCAGCACAGTCAGCAGCCAGAGCAGCCTGGGTGGGAGAGGCAGGCCTGGAGGGACCTCGGCGGAAGCTGGTTCACAACATGGAATAGGTTTACACAAATCGCTGTCTGCAGGAGTAGATTATTCCCCACCTAGCGCTCCTAGGTCTGTTCCAGCCACCACCACCACAGTTTACCCGCCTGCACTTTCTCAGGCAGGGACACCTGTCTCCCCAGTGCAGTACGCACACCTGCAGCACACTTTCCAGTTTGTAGGGCCCCCGTATAGCGGACCATACGCCGGATTCATCCCCTCCCCACTGATTTCCCCGACAGCCAATTCTGCAACCAGCACGGCGGCCTCTGCCACTGCTGTTGCCACCACTCCATCCCAGCGTTCTCAGCTGGAGGCTTATTCCACTTTGCTGGCCAGCATGAGCAACCTAAACCAGCAAGGGCACAAAGTTGAGCCGCATCTCGTTCGGGCGCCCGGGTTGATCACAGCAGGGTCCCCTCCACCGACCCAGCAAAACCAGTACGTCCACATTTCCAGCTCTCCACAAGGCTCAGTTAGGAACGTCTCTCCTCCAGCCATCCCAGTCCATTTGCATCCACACCAGGCAGTGATTCCTCATGCGTTTGCCCTTGGCCCCTCCTCCCAGGTGGTGGTGCAATATGCAGATTCTGGCGGCCATTTTGTCACTCGGGAGTCCTCCAAGAAGTCCGAGAGCGGCAGGCTGCAGGCTATGCAAGCAAAAGAAATACTGAACGGGGAAATAGAGAAGAGCAGGCGTTATGGCATCTCCCCATCCTCAGAAGTGAGTCTCGTCAAATCAGGCAATAAACCATCTCCTCATCATTATGAGGCCAGGCACGTGGTGGTCCATTCGGGTCCTGCTGATTATATTGCACGCGATTCCACCAGTATCCGGTCCTCTGTTATGGTTGTTCCCAATAGCAGCACACCTACTGCAGACATGGAGGTCCAACAAGCCACCAATAGAGAAACACCTCCCTTGGCCCTCAACGAAAAGGGAAGCTTGCACTTAGGAAAAACAGCCCACCGATCCTATGCTTTATCTCCGCAACAGACTATGGGCCACGAAGGGGTGAAAGCAGTTGCCACTTTGTCCCCTCACACAGTCATTCAGACCACCCACAGCGCCTCAGAGCACCTCCCCGTTGGGTTGCCTGCTGCGGCCTTCTACACTGGGACTCAGCCACCGGTAATTGGCTACCTAAGCAGTCAACAGCAAGCCTTTGGCTATCCTGGAAATCTGCCACAGCACCTGGTGATCCCAGGCACTCAGCCCCTCCTAATACCGGTAGGCAATGCAGATCTCGACTCAACAGGGGTTCCTCCTGCTATCGCCACTTCATCTCCCCAGTTGGCAGCAGTGCCTCACACGTTTGTCACAACCGCCATTCCAAAAAGCGAGAATTTCAACGCCGAGTCGCTAGCAAGTCAACCAGCTTACCAGGCAGCCGTCGTGCAGGCCCAGATCCACCTCCCCCTGATCCAGCCTGTACCTTCTTCAGCAGCTGCTCCTTCTACACTGCCTCCTTACTTCATGAAAGGGTCTATCATTCAGTTGGCCAACGGAGAGCTGAAGAAGGTAGAAGATTTGAAAACAGAAGACTTTATACAGAGTGCAGAAATTAGCAGTGACCTGAAAATAGACTCCAGCACCGTGGAAAGGGTTGATGACAGCCATACTCCAGGCATTGCCATGATACAGTTTGCAGTTGGAGAGCACCGAGCACAGGTAATAAATGGGCTGGGGAAAGGAGGGACTATTCAGTTGACTGGATATCCTTTCTTACAATGTCTAAGTCTCTTAGGAGCACAGAAGGGCTAGCACGTGGTAGTGTGGAAGAGATTTTCAAAATGGCATTCCAGTGGCTTAATAACTGAGGAAGAGCAATGGCATATGTTGCAAAGTAGAAGTGGTTGCCGAGTGACTAAAAGTTTCAAGGTTCCTTAATGTGTGTGGATGTAACAATGGACCTCTAAATTAGGATTGTCAACATTTTCCCAAGAGATAAGTTCTTCTCCCTTTAGCAGCTGCAGAACTTGCCCTGTTCACTCATGAGGATGCCGCCGTATGAAATTCTTCTCCTGGACCTATAATAAGCTGTACCATTCAATGGAAAGTTGTGTTTTCACTTACAGAGAAATGTGCAACCAAAAATTCAGCCGTATCTGTGAAAACCATATGATAAGTTTCAGCCTAGCCCATCCCCTCCATGTCTTTTAATGTTGCTGTACTAGCATCCTGATGCTGTCACCTCTGCAGCAGCAGCAGAGGTGGGGAGGCAGATGCCGGTGTCTTCTCTTCATGCTCACACATACCATCAGTAAAAGTGGCACGTCAGGAAAGCTTTCCTTTCAGGAGTGGAGAGTGCCATCGTCTGGTAGAAAGGATGATGACCTCCATTTAAGTGTCACCTTATGCAGGAGCCTATCAAAATCTAGCTGACATCATCTTACTTAAAATACTCCACCAGCTGTGTTTCTCACAAGGGACGCTTCCAGAATTTAGAGCAAGTCGTTTAGAGAGATACGATTAAAATGTGGGTTTAATTTACGTTTCCTGTAGATTCTAGGGCTTTGGGTCCCTTCTGTATCAGTCATGTTTTCTGTAGTAGCAGCTAGTCTCCTAGTGGATGTGGTTTGTTTTGTTTTTGTTTGACTGTTTGATTAACTAGTTGAAATCTCGCCTTGGTAGATCACTATTTTGTCTTGTGTTTGAATTTGAAATGTCTGCTGAGTGCATAGTCTGGCACAACCTTTTCAGTTTAAGAGAGACAGCATTTTTGTTGCATAATGGCTAAGGATGTGAGCCGGGAAGCCCATTTCAAATGCTGCTGCAGCCCAGGAGCTCCTTAAGGTGGCCTTCTAGGTGTGTCTTGCCTTAGCCTTCCCCCTGCCACCTGCAATTGAGAGAAAAGGTGTTCCCTCCTCACACTCTCAGTTTAGAAGCCAGGATTTGGAGGAAAAAGTGCCGGTACTGCATACCAGTGAGTACCACCAGGAACTATGGCTGCTGCCTTATAGATGTTAAGCAAGTCTCATATGCCTACAGGGCAATAGTACTCAGAAGCTGTGCCTGCGTTACGTCCCCATTTCTCCCTGGGAGTCTTTATCATGGCCCATTAATGTCTTTCCCCTCCTCACTGGCCAGTTTTATGCCAGGCTCCTTACATCCTGGAAGTTTGATGTCAAACAGCCCGTTACAGGAAGCAAAATATGACCTCGGGTTAAGAACTTAATTCGTTCTGGAGGTCTGTTCTTAACCTGAAACTGTTCTTAACCTGAGGTACCACTTTAGCTAATGGGGCCTCCCGCTGCCCCTGCCGCGCGATTTCTGTTCTCATCCTGAAGCAAAGTTATTAACCCAAGGTACTATTTCTGGGTTAGCGGAGTCTGTAACCTGAAGCGTCTGTAACCCGAGGTAGCACTGTAAACCATGAATTTCTCTTCCTTCCTCCTTCTCCGCCCCCTTGTGAGCTTGTGGTTCTAAAGGTTTTTAAAGCATACATATGTTCCACATTATTGATATGTTGTATAGGAGGGAGAGCAGCGTTGTTGATCATATCTACAACAGAATATCTCCTTTCACATTCATTGATGATTAAACTTTCCCCAGGAGCCATTTATTTGATAGCCTCCTTTTAAAAGTAAGCTGCGTTTCATATATTACATGTCTGGGGTTTTTAATATATATTCAGTTTTTGAAAGGGGGCATATTTTGACTGCAGTGAGTCTTTTAGTCAGCATATACCAGGACTGACCAACGTGGTACCTTTCAGATGTTGCTGCATCTCAAGTCCCACAATTCCTGAGTCTTGGCCATTCTGGCAAGGACCAATGGGAGTTGGAGCCTAACAGCATCCAGAGCAAAAACCACCTTAGCTATCCCTGGCATAGACAAATGGTATCCTGACCTACTTTGGGTGAACGCTGTTATGAATAAGAAGTTAGGGCCTAGGCAGGCAAAAAGGTGGGATGAAAAATGAAGAGGGATAGGAAAAGCAACTGAATTTCTAGAGCAAGGGGACGTTGCCCAATGCCCCATCCTCGCCCCCTGTTCTCTAGTTCTGTAATAGCAGATTCACTTTCCTAAGGGCATTTTTTAAAGTAAAATTAAAAACCTGTGTGTTTTAATAGAGCAAGCAGTGCAGTTATTTGAATGTCGACTCATTAATAAAAAATAATAAATAAAGAATTTAAATGAATGTCAACTCATTAGTGAGTTCAAAGCGGTTTACTCCCAAGTCCCAGGTAAGTGGGTATAGGATTGCCACCTAAATGTATACCAGGATTGCATTAGCTTACTGGTTGCTGAAATAAATAGAACCCCAAAATCACATTTGAGTTACAGAATTGACTGAGGTTTTATTCAGGTTCCAAGACTATCTATATTGTGTTCATTGCCACACAATCACTTTTAGATGAGAGGAACTGCTTGTGTTTCCCAGGAGAGGACGAAGAATTAGGCTTCTTTCTGAACTATCCCCTAGCCGCAGCTTGTATTAATTAACCTACAGAGAATCTCTCTTGGGATTAATCCCTGTGGAACAGAAGCGGCTTATGAAATTGCTTTTAATGAATGCAGTTGGTTAGCATGGGAAGCAGCCGCAGGTCTGTAGCTTCTGCAGCTGTGTGCTGCGCATCTGGGGGGGGGGGCTGTTTTCACCCCAGAGGAGTGAGGTGTGCTGGAGTGCCTTGGGCTGGATACTGCTCTGCTGAAGAAAATGCAAGAGAGGTAGATGAAGTGTTTTAAAAACTCCCCAAGAGGAGTAGCAAAAGTTGGCAGTTTGGTCCCTAGCTTCTTCACTGTCCCCTTCTGCATACCAAAAGGCATAGAGCCCATATTTTATGCCAGCTGGGAGAAAAATGCCCAACTACCTTCTAGACTGATGTAAAGGTGACTTCAGCCATTCTCCCCGCCACCCGGCCTCAAGCTTATTTTAATTTATTTTTTTCACAAAACAAAAACATGTAATTGCATTACATATTTTCCATAGTTAGAGTTCCCTTATTTCAGTTTTAGAAAATCATTGAGATAACTTCTACAAAGATCTTTTTGAGTAGTGGGTAATGGGAAATCTCTTCCATGGGAAATAAATGGATGCTACGCCATGTTGGACTTGTCTCTTTTGGAAGTATCTTGTAGGGCAGGCAAGTCTTTCTGAGAAGGCCACATCCCACCCACCATTAAAATGGTAGATTCCTGGGTAGTTCTGATTTACTTTTTCACTGCTGGGCCACAGGCAGAAGAAAACCTATTAATTCTTTAGGACCTTTAACACAACTTGAGCTACGGTCTAGTATGAGGAGTGCCAAGGCTGGGTTAGGCTGCAAAGCTTGTTTTGCAGTAATAGAAATAACCCCCAACTCTCTCTGAACCCGCCCCACCCCTCTTCTCTTTAAAAGAGGCTTCTGCTTTGGTCACACTCAGCTGTGGTATTCAGATGAACATTTTCAGATTAATGTGTTTTCTCTCCCTTTCTTTTTCTCTCCTCCTTCCCCCTCCCACCCTCATTTCCTTCATCCCTGCAGGTCAGTGTTGAAGTCTTGGTAGAATATCCTTTTTTTGTATTTGGACAAGGTTGGTCATCCTGCTGCCCTGAGAGAACAAGCCAGCTCTTTGATTTGCCATGTTCCAAACTCTCTGTTGGGGACGTCTGCATATCACTTACACTCAAGAATCTGAAGAACGGCTCCGTCAAAAAGGGCCAGTCCATGGACTCAACTAGCATCTTGCTGAAGCACTCTAAGAATGACAGTCTAACTGGTAGTAGACATAGGTATGCAGAGCAGGAAAACGGGATTGATCAGGGAAGTGCAAAGATGTCATCTGAGAATGGTGAACTGAAGTTTCCAGACAAAATAGGATTGCCTGCAGCATCTTTGCTCACCAAATCAGAACCCAGCAAGCCCACGGCAACGAGGAAGAGGAGGTGGTCTGCCCCCGAAACACGGAAATTAGAGAAGTCAGAAGAGGAGCCACCGTTGACTCTCCCCAAACCTTCTTTTATTCCTCAGGAGGTTAAGATTTGCATTGAAGGGCGATCCAATGTAGGCAAGTGAAGTCTGTTTAGGGAAAAGGAAATTAGGCTACCCCTTGTCATTTTTATCCAGATTACTGTACTGTAGGCTAAAATAACCCAGTATTTACATGTTATCATCTTATTTTAGGTTTATGTTATAACCTTGTTGTTATAGTTGCAGCTGGTATTATGCAGGAGACTGGTGCATCCTCCCCACACCCCTCAAGTGTTCATTGGTGATTATTTTTATCGGGAGCTACAGAAAGGGGCAGTATCTGCTTCATCCCCACCCTTTGTGGAAGCAAATGTTGTTGCCATGACTCCTGTTTCTCCACCACTTCAAGCAGAATAAGCCTTGGCTGTCTTTGGCGAGGGGATGGGAAGGGAGGGAAGTGTACCAGAGACAAACACTAATGTCTGATTCATTGGGAGGGCGGAAGTCCCATGGCAGCGTGGCTTGGTCCTTCTCTCAGCTAGCAGCTGTTGGGAGGCCAGTCCAGAGGCAGTATCAGAGAAACATCGGAGAAACTCTGAGGCTTGTACCATAAAACCACTTTTTAAATTCCTCCCCGCCCCTCCGAAGTTTGCCACATATTTCCCATCTCCCCACCCCCCACTCCAACCACATCCTCTGCCCCACAATGGGAGCCTGACTGCACTATTTTTTATTATCGTTCTCAGAGGCTGCCATACAGACATTTCATCTCCACTTGCTAGTACAGCTGCATTGCAAGGGCGCAGCGAACGCTCCTTGCTTTGCTAACACTGGGAATTTCTTTAAAGTGGGGCATTGTTGCCATAGGCCTAGCAAACTCTGGGAGACCCCTGCATGGGCTCATCATCATTGCTTCTGTACAGGGTCAGAGAGAGAGTTTTGCCACTGACATTTGCTTCCACAAGGTAAATATGCACTGCCCCTTTGGGAGAGTGGACATAACAGTTGTTTGCATTTTAGGTTGCAAATACTTGTCTTTTAACTTTAGTACTGTTTTTAGTTCCTGACTATGGACAACTAGTGCCACTTTTTTTCAAATTTCAGTGTGACACAAGGAAGTGGATGTCAAAGATGAACATAGAATGTCTTTAAGCACTTAAAATGCTGTTTCACACTTTCGTTGCCGAACATCTTGGCTTAACACTCAGCAAGTACTGTATCTCATTTTAATCTCTTCAATGAGAGAGAGAGGAAAAGAAAAGAAAACCGATCTCTTCAACACTGTTAAACTACATGCAAACTATGTAGAGGGTTGTTGTTTTTTCACAAGCAAGATGTTGAAAGTTTTTCATGTGGTTTCAAAGGGATGAATGTGAATTATGAACTGGTATGTGACAGTCATTGTCCACGAGGACTACTTAATAGGAGGCACTTTTAAAACTTTAATGCTTGTGAAAGAGTTAAAGGCATATGCGAGCTGACAGATAATAAAAGAGTAAGAGAGAGTATAAAAGAAAGAGAAGAAAAAAAAACATTATTGTCCAGTGTTTTTGAAAAAGATGGACTTTAAAGAATCTTGCAATTTGCACATCTTGAGTTTATCATTTGTGTGGTATTCCTGCAGTTTTTACCTAATAATTTTTGGGAAAGGGAGAGGGACTGAAGAAGCTTAAACAAATGTAGCAATTACTTACTAACCTGCCTAAACTCTAGGCCATTTTTATAGGGTTAGGTTTCCTTTCAACCTTTTTATTTTGTTACCATATCTGTCACCCTGAACCAGGACAAAGTCTGAGAATTTCTCTTCAGATTTGCTCAGTTTCCATAAGAGAGATTTTGACACAGAAGCAAGTTTTGGTTTTTCATTTTACTTCTAATCCTTCGTTATTTTATTATTGTGAATACTACTCTTTGTTACTTTGAAGAACTTCCTTTTCCATTAGTAGTACAATGTAGATGTCAAAAGTTTGGTACAAAACAGGACAATGGGTAGAAAGTTTACCCAGTTAAGCTCTTTTATTCTTGGCAGTGTTACTGTTCCCACAAATCTGAAACAAATTTTAAGAGTGGATCTAGAGGTCCTAACTCCTGCTGATTTCTGTGGCTTCCATCTTGAAACCAGTTCCTGACAGAGCCACATTAATGCCCTAGTGACTACTCACAGACAAGTGATCTGATGACACCCGCCTATGAATAATTCACATTAATAAAGACACAGCTAAGTCCAGTTAATTAAAATACTGCATTAATTTTTGAAGCTTTAAGATTAGGATCTCCTGATGAGATACTATGGGCATTTTCACACACAAGGCTTAATTTGGGCTCTCCTTGAGATGGTCTATAATGTGAATCTAAAATTGATGTTGGCACATTCTATCCATGTTAACATTGTTCTCATGTGGTACAGATATTATATGAGAGCTCAAATATGGGCTTAGCATTGTGTATGAAAATGGCATAAGAAGTTATTAACATCAGTTGCTTCCTCCTTTTCAGGGGTGGGTGGGTATGAATCCTCTTCTTCCCCCACTTGCAATTACTTTAGGATGCAATCCTTCTTATCAGGGGTGGGCGGGTGGACATGAGTTTTCTTCTTTCCCCACTTGCAATTATTCTTGGATGCAATCTAAAGCCAGGGCATATGGCCTGGGTAAACAGAGGCTGCGTACCCCTGATTTGTTTTCCATTATCATTCCGCATGCCTTAGGGTAGCCACTATCCTCAAAGCGGCCTTGTCCGGGGAATGAATGAAGCAGAAAAGGCCAATTCGAACACCCCTGGCACTCAGGCGAAGGGTAAGCTGTGACCTCAGTCTCAGCTCAACCAATATTTAGTTGAGATACTTGCCCAACGGGAGTTCATCTCCCTTGATCGATACTTGGACTGTGAATGTGGCTTTGCTGGTTGCGTTCAGCCTCTGCAAATCTGAGGCCCTTTCAGATCAAGAATCGAAATTACAGATATCAGAACAGAACCCAGAATGAACAGATTCCTCCAATGTTCATTCCTCATGTTTTGCTTAAATATAATACGTTTTAAGGAGAAAAAAATAACTACCATTCTACCCTTCCCTTCAATTCTTATGTCTCTTTGTTTGTTACTTGAACCTTAGCTCACGCCAGAACTAATCATTTTTGTACCATTTTCTGGGGTGCACCAAAAATGTGTTTAAGTTTTAAAATAGCTTGAAATCTGTCTTGAATTGAATTGAATTGTAACCTCTCAGTAATTTACCAAATAGCTGAGCAGGTTCATCCTCACAATCACACTGCTTATTTAGTGCTGTAATTATTTTTTTTCAACATTTCTGCTCAAAGAACTTGCTTAATCTTCCATAAACTCTGCTCAGGGCACTTTCAATTTATTGTTTATTGGAGTTTTATTTTGGCTTCTTTTTTTGTTTGTTTGTTGTTTTGTTTTTCGTTTCAACCTCTGACGTCAAGAGGACTAGAGAGACAGGGGGCAAAAAAATCCCTATTTCGTTCCCATCAGTACCACTATTTTCACATGTACTCGGAGAGCATCAAACATAAAAGGAAGCAGGGATCATGAAACTGACCGTATCTATAAAACTAACACTAACAAGTAAAAAAAAAAAATCAACAACAACAGTAATAATAATAATTAAAGGTTGGAGCAATAGGAATGTATTTTGTTCACTGCTTGCATTGCAGACTTAGAATCCTGCAGTTGTTGCTTCCTTCCAAACATTGTTCCCCTTTGTTGTTTGCTTTTTTTTTTAGCATGTGCAATATTTTATGTGCCAATTTAAGATTCACCCATACGGTGATGGCTTGACCTTCCCACCCCCCCTTTTGTGTGTGTTTAAATCTAGGGCCCTACACTTCCCTCCATGTTAGGCACAGAGCCTTTCTGGGTGCAAATATGTTTGGCACACATGGAACAAGGGCTCTGTACAGCTCTTGATTCTACTCGACCTGGCCTCCACATTCAAAGCAGGGTGGGAAATCTAGATAGAGGGGGCGGGAAATAGATAATATTCCTCCCTGGAAGGACTTTAAAGGTGGGGAGGATGGCCCTGGGGTGGGAGAGATTCTGTGAATACAAGCAATTATAAACTGCTTGGATGAGAGCCAGCAGTCTTCTGCAGCCTCACCATGTCGCATTTTTATGCCCGTAACTATTACTAAACCATCTTCTTTATTGTTGATAAAATTTAGCCCTGTGCAGAGGAGGAAGAACACATGCACACTGTGCTTCTTAACTCTCCGTGACCAAGGAAAAAGCTCATTTGGCTGCTGGAACACCCCAAGTTGCGTTTCTTGGTTGTGGTAAGGAACGGATAATTTGTGGGCCAGTTCTGTGACGTTTTTATGTGCCGCATTTTTGAAAATGACTCGAGGTGAGTTCTGGTCCTGCTGATGTCTGCAGTGAGGGCTCTGTTGAGTCCTCTGTCCTCCTCACCAATTGGAATAGGATTTGAGTCTTGGGCTTCTAAAGTGCCTTAGTTTGTTTTGGAAAAGGCACCTAATTTCAAGTGAAAAATTCTTTTAACCCCATTGGGCTGCTCCTATAAACTCTCATTCACAGAATCGCTCCCTTCCCACTTCCTTCTCACGGATTAAATAGCAATTGGCGGGCACGGAGAACATGTTAAGGTTAATTTCATTGTAAGAGGCCTCTCTGTACAGTGTCTACATGGCAATATTAACTGACACCAGTCTTTCCTCTTTGTTTTTGTACCAGACCTGTTTTAGTTTACAGCAAAACTCATACAATCACCAATAAAATTAGTCAGGGCAAAGAAAAAGAAAAAACCAGAACCTCTTTATAGGAATTTCTAAATAAATATATCTATATCTATATATCTATATCTATGTATAAAATGACTGTTCCTTGTAGTGTTTAACTTAGATGTCATTTCAGTTTGTTTGGGCTACATCATGAGGGTTTCAGAGTGCGATGTCACTTACCTCGTATCCTGTAAGTTATACCTGGACTATTCTGTGTTGTGTTTTTTATTCCCTCCCATGCATCTTCCTTCCCCACCCCCGTTGCCCTTTCCTGGAAGAAAAAAAAAATGCATGTCTTATCCCTCTATTTTAATCCTGGTGTCACTTTTGAATCGGTGGGAGGAGGGCAGTTTTGAGCCAGGAAGTGACATCACTACTCGTTTCCCTAAATCAAGGAACATTTTGAAACCTTTCACACCTCTTACTCAGGGATGGGGCTGGCGTGTGGTACACTGAGGTGACCAGAAGGAGCACTTTTTCTGCTCTGGAGTAGGGATGTTCAATTCCAAGGAGACGTTTGGATTTCCTGCATGGTCGTGGATTAACTTCCCAGATTTATCATGTAGATTGCAACATAAAGCAGCAGGTCTAGTGTGAACTGTAGCTTTCAGTTGTGGAAAAAATTGCTCTGTGAACAGTGGCTTGTTTTGCTTTGATATGTTGCCAAGCAATTGGGGGGTGGGGCGGGATCACAACAATGATATTGTTTGAGTAGGAAATGAGAGTGCTATCTTGAAGTCAATCGCATAATGTTTATTCTTGTTTCCAGACATTGGTTTCTAAACATTTTTTTAAAAAATAAAAACGATGCCATATACATCCAGGCCACAGTGTTGCAAATCTTTACACCGTCACTCAATCCTACAAGGGAGTAGTTGTGGTTCTCCAAATTCTTTGAATATGTAGGGTCATCTTTTTTGAGATCCTGAATCTATCTGCGCTGAACAATATATTCTTAGACCAGTCCATTCAAAAACGATGCTTTTAAATTCATGGCTAGGCCCTCTCTCCCTCTCACTTTGCAGCATTGGAGCTATCATAACTTGGGGTGCATTATTTCAGATGTTGCCACCCGCCGAACTTTGGTGTGTTTGGGTGCCTGTGACTTTTAACCTTCTCATAAGCGCGTCATTTCACCTTTAACGGCAACAGTGTGGTTATCATTTATTTTTTTCAGAACACATCAGAGAAATTATTACTCAAGAGCTGCGTGGGCTTACCCACAAGCAGTTCGGAAATAATGAAATGGGCAACCAAAGCAGCCGTTATGTGATCCAAACTGCAAAGGTAACAGAACACACTAGTAATTGCCTGCCTGGATTGACACTGTTGGCTTTGTGGCATCCGTCCATGGGTTGAAATCCAAAAGTACCCTTCTGCGTGTGGAAGATGTTTTTTGTGTGCATGAAAGGGCTGTTTTACAGCTCTCATGCAAGTAGAAGAATGCAAATGACCATAGAACCTACCTTATTATCATCCCATACGAACAATTCTGCTATTGCTTGCACAAGTGAACTAGTGGCTCTCTTCCTTTTTTTGCTCACAGTTCATTGGATCCCGCCCCTGATTTTTATCTGCTTTAAGAAAACTGAGTCCTCTTGTGTCACATCCACTATGAACTGAACTCTGTTAACAGCAATATGTGACCTGCACTTTCTTTTTCTGCCCCCATCGCCACAGGTAGCAGTGCTGTCCAACTTAGGGACAGGCACTGTGATAGCGTGAAGATAAGGGAAATTGTTCTATATGTTTTTAAGCAGAATGTGGTTAGTGCTTTTGCTTTTTTTATGTTTAACCCTGGCAATTCCTGAAAAATAAGATAAATGAATAGTGTCCCAAATTGTGACTGTTGTTTTTTGAGAGCACAGGACTATTCTGTTGATTTCTTTCGTAGTTTCCAAGAGCAGTATTCTGTTTTTCTGTTGATAGGGAAATTCCAAACAAGTTGCACACTTCTACTCCAGAGTTCAATTTCTTTTACATAGACGACCTCGCTTCAGACGTGTTACCTTACTGATAGGATCTTTACTTGTAGCACTATTAACTCGTGGGAATATTTTTTTACGTGAACCTAATTTGATGAGAAGCTTAAACAAACTTTTTTGAAGCACTCACATTGAGAGGAGTACAGGTAATGTTTTTTTAAAAAAATTGCACAAAAGAAACATGAATGTTGGAATGATTCATTCAGTGTTTGAAAAGCGATGGATATGTTGAAATAGTGTGTTGTTTGTAAAAATGAAATAAAAGTACAAAAGCCGAGAAAGGGTGAAAGTTACATGTTATTTGTATATAGAAAACTCTCACGTCTAGGTGATCCGATTGTATTGGTTCTGGCTGGAAAGAAATGCTAATTAACAGGTTTTTCAAAGACAACTATGCTTACTTTTGTATTTGTATTACATGAATCCCGTTGTTGGGGCAGGGGAGAATGATTCACCATCATGCTACAATTTGTCCCCTTTTCAATTTTGATTTTGAACTTGATTAGGAAGTCTTAACTCCTCCTAGGGATGGTGATCTATATGTCTTCTGCACTTCTTGTTCTTTATTTTTTTTATTTTTAAGAAAAAGAACCCAAAGAATTTAATACTGAACAAGAAGTGCTTGTCACCAGGGGTTCTTGAACCACAAAAAGGCAAGAAGGAATGAGCAATTTGTGTCCCATAATTCCACATAACCTCTCACAGAGCACGCACGCAAACCTCATTGGCGCCTGGAGGTATTGAAGACATGATTTAAGTTACTCTAGCAGTTTTGCAGAAAGTTTTGAATTTTTTCATTTGGTTTGATATATAAAATATATATTACTAGCACACACACAAAAACCTGAAGGGAATTTAGGAATATAAATATTTCTGGGGTAAAGGTGTAAAATTAATTTATAATAGGGAGTCCTTAAAAGGGGCTGGGGGCTGATTGATAGTTGTCTGAATCCTTCTCCCCTTCCCCCCTTCCAGTCTGTAGTAATAATCCAAGTTTCTGTTCTGGCATTAAATATGGAGGGGGGATTTAATTCTATATTCAAATGGCCCCTTCAGGTGCAGAAAGATGGCCTCTCACACAATAAAATGAAGTGCATTTGGTCAAGGAGTGCTTCTACAATGGGGATTGCAAAATCTGTGGTTTTTCTCATTGTGCTCGGAAAGGACTCGAGTCTTCCACTGAGAATGAATCAGAGGCTTCACCCAAGGTTGCTTTTGTTTGTTCATTTTCCTTTTGCTTGATTGAAGCTCTTGTTCACTTTTTCCTCAGCCATACAATAGGCAGCCATTGGAGGTGTCGTCTGCAATAGGACTTAACTCACTGGTGCTGGAACTGCTGTATAATACTGCAAGTCACCTTCACTGAGGTCTGTGACAAGTGACGCTATAGAGGTCCAGATCATAGGCACTTGCCACTTTCAAAGGGGTGTGTGTGTGTTTGGGGGTGGCTAGTGAACTGTTGTACAGCCACTGAATGCTTAGTCTAGGAAACTTTGGGGCTGCAATCATCCTTCAAATGTGTTGATTTTGTTGAGTTATAAAACTAGTAGAGGGAGACCAACTTATACCAGCAGAAGAGCTGGCCACCAAGAGAGTGCTCTGAAAATTAGAAGCCTTTCAGTGTATATATGTGCAATTCCTCTTGAGATTGCTATCTCCATAGAGAGGGCAATTACATTTCAAAATGGCTGCCAATAAATCTTCACCAACCTGAAGCCAAAGCCAAAGGAGGAACAAAATAAGTACAGATATTCATTGCCCAGAGAAATGATAACAGTTCTGATACATGTTGAACATTTTAAGGCTGTATAGCTGGCAGAAGATAAAACCTTCCGATTGATTGATCTGGATGTAAATTTGGCCTACATACTTGAGAAGTAGTTTAGATTTACTTGCAAACTGTTCTGTGTCTATTTAAGTTTAACCCCAGAAGGCAGTCCTTAAGTACTTGAAAGGCCTAAAAATGTTGTTTCTGGGCAATAAATATCTGCACTTACTTAGCTGGTTGGAGTTCTCATGTTTTCTATTGTATTCCAGAACTGTTGCCTCTCAAATTATTCTATTAGGATACGAAGCTTATCTTTGGTTACTCCCAACAGCCAATACTAAAAATACCTTTAAAAAAAATGTACGTAACATCCCTAAATACTTGTCTTTCTGATGCATCTAAATAGGGAACTTTGAGGCCCTTATTTTCAATTTGGTAGCAATCTTGTCAACATTACAAGCATCCAGCAAGTTCTTGAGGAAAGAAGCATTGCAAAGTCAGTAGGTGGTTCATACTGGCTTCTTTCCCTTATTCAAATGACTGAAAAATACACTTTCAATGTCCTGCCTAGTGTTGGCATAGGAAAAGGGGTATCATAGCTTTATGCTGAGGTCATATTGGGCTGCAATGGCCAGTACAAAGGAGAAATGTGGAGGGAATAATGTTTTGCACCTTATAGAAAAGAGGAGAAAAAATTTAAGTGCATACAGACATAGGTAAGAGCTTTTATTGTGACAAGAGAACCTTTTTCCATATGCGTGCATACTCTCTGTAATTCCAGTGTAAAATATTGTACTTGCACTAGCTTTTTTAAAACAAATATAAAAAATGGAAGAATTCATATTCTATTTTCTAATCGTGGTGTGTCTATTTGTAGGATACACTCGCGTCTGTTTATTGAATTTTATGGTCCCTTTCTTTGATGGTGCTTGCAGGTTTTCTAGGTAGAAATTATTTCATTATTATAATAAAACAATGTTTGATTCAAAATTTGAACAAAATTGTTTTAAAGAAATTGTCTGTATACCAGTACAAGTTTATTGTTTCAGTATACTCGTACTAATAAAAATAACAGTGCCAATTGCAAATAAGTGTTCTTTGTTGTGTATGAATTAAGAAAGAGGTGGGAGTCAGTTTGTTTCATTTTTTTAAATAGCAGTTTGTCCATATGAAAGTTTACCCTGAGGTTCATCTTTGTGACAAGGAGGGTTTTTTAAAAAAAAAATAGAATAATAAAACATATTTATTTTTTTCCATAATAAAATATACACAGAAGTTGATGCATATTGCATATAATTGCCATTCTGTTTTATATAAATCACAGTTCAATTCTATTTTCCAGTCCCCTGCCACAAACCCAAATTCAGAAACTGGAACTTTAGTCATATAATGCATGCATAGTATGATTGCGCATTCTGAATTCATTTAGAGCTCATTCTGTTCTATTAATTATCTTTGTATTCATGCATCCTTAAGAATATGATACTTTGACATTTTATCCAGTTGTGTGTGATTTCAGTGGCTGCATCCAAATTGTATGTACCATGAGGACTTGCTTTCCTAAAATCAAGGAAAAATGGAGGTAAGGGGAGGGGAGTGCAGATATTGTTGGGCTGTATGGTTCAATTTCCTTTAGGATGTTTATAGCAGTAGGGTCACTGGCAGAGCACAGAGCTTCAAGTATGACTTCCGGCAAGACCTTTCTGTGCAGTGTGGATCTGCAGCTGCCATGCTAAGAAGGGAGGCAGGACACAGTTAACTTCCCTAGGGGTCTGCTCACAAGGTAAGGGGACCCACTCACATAATACTGCAATATCCTCAGGGGGGGTTTAGGCTGGTGCTTGCTAAACAGGGATTCAAAACCACCTCCAGATGTTGGGCCTCAACCCCAGTTAACAATGGCGGTGGCCAGGGATGATTGGAGGTAGAGTCTTCAACATTTGGGAAGGCCAAAGATTACTACTAGCAGAAACTTCTCCCTTTCTTAGGTTATGATGAGTGATAGGGCAGAGTGTCTTAAGGCAATTGCTTCCCACACCACTGCAATAATGTAAGAACTGGCCTCCCTGGTGTGGCTTTTCCTGTCTATGCAATATTCTACATTGATTTAAAAAGTGTCTGCACATTTCTAACAGATATATATGCATTATTTGTAAGGCATCCATTCTCTGCTTGCACAGGCATCTAGTACAATCTCACCACATGCTATTCAATTAGGTTTAAATAATTTTTTTAAGCGGGTCATTTCAGCTGCTCTTGTTGGTTCTCTTTCATGTGAAACCAGAAGTGTCTTAAGCAGGTACGTTGGTTTTAAAATACCATTGCATTGCAAGGTCATGAGAGATTTCCAGCCAATTTGAGGGTGGGAGCAGGCGTACCTAAATTTCCATTCTGCAGACTTTTAACACTTTTAGAATGATGGTGGAAACATAACCAAATCCAAACGTATCAAGTGTTGCAAAGCTTTGCCATGCAATGGGAAAGGTGATTCTGTTCTAGGGGGAATGTTAGGAATAGTTTGTTTCAAATAGAGAATGTATGTTTTTAAGAATCATATTCCTGTTTTATATTTAAATCAACCCAAAGGAGAAAATTTATTCTTCAAAACACAATCAATGAATGACTACTCACAAGCAAGCTCCAGTGGAACTTACTTTTCAGTAAAACTTACTTTTCAGTGGAACTTACTTTTCAGTAAGTGTGGGTTCAAGATTTCAGTTTTGATGTTTAAAAATCATTCCTTTAAAAAATAACTTCGACTGCGCTTTCAGATCACTTGCATGTGTTCAGCTTTGGAAATGCTGTAGTTGTGAATGCCCAGCAACTACGCATATCCACTGTCAAGTTCCGTGTAGCACACATGTACAAGCTGTCAATTTCGTTACTCCGGTTATTATATCAAAGACTTGACGGCAGCCAAGTCCATAGGGCTGACAGGGAAGGACCTGTTGTAATATGAAATTTTCTGTCTCAACTGCAAAGGACCATTTGTCTGCACCTTAAAGTCTCAAGATTAGAAGATAAAGAAATACTGGAGAGAATGAAGAGACATTTTTTTAAAAATCCAGTGCAAGTTCCTAAAATGTAATATATAATTAGACCACACACCTTCAGTATAGTTGGTTGCAGTGTCTTCCAGGATGGGAATGAGTACTTTAAAAGTACAACAGAGATGTGTTTTGCTGTAGCTCTCAATATCCCAGAAAATTCAAACCTGCTAGCAAATTAGGCTGCTATCTTTTTCTGCTGTGGTTTTAAGACACTGTTCCAGTTCAGAAATTAGTGTGTACATTTGTATGCTCGCTTCTCTCTTTACTTATTAGATCATCTATGAAAGTAAAATAATCAGCAAATGACGAGTAGATTACATTTATTCATTGGCATACTCCTACCTTTCTACCCACCCCAGCTTAAACTGGCTTTTCAAAGGAAGGCTGCTAATGACTCCAAGGGAGGGAGTGGATTACAAAAACTCCGAGATGGAAGCAGGAAGCACCTCTGAGCTCCCTGTCAAATGCAGGAGGGAAGGCAGGTTTTGCCCTCATTCTATCTATGAATGCAATTGTTCACGTTCATGTAAGAAAGTGAAGCAGATGCACCCTGGGACTTGGGAATTTCACTGTCCAGCACTTTAATGTTAGAGGCAGGCAGCCATCACTTATACTAGAAGAAAAGGAAGTCACAGCAGCAGAAGGCCTGCGTGACAAAAAACAAACAAACCTTAGCCAGTGAATCGGCAGTTCCAGACTGAAGGTCATAACCACACTGCCCCTTATCTGAAAGACCTTGGTTATGAGGAGCTGTGGAGCTGACTGGCGCCTAAAACTACAGAACTCCACTTACAACTTCCCTGCAAGTATTCTGTAGTGTCTGGAAACACTTGATCTTTGATAAATGGAATGAGGTGGCTTAATCAGGCCCTGAACAGTAGGAACCAAAAAATATATATGAAGCCGATGTTTGTCCTCTGTCCTTAACCAAAGGAATCTTGCGAAATATAGCAACCACCATTATCTTGGAAATATCCCACATGAATATAAAAGACATGTCCATTTCCTTTGTTTGAATGTCTCTGCCAGCAAAGCATTGCAATAAAATTAATATAACTATTTAATCAACAATTTTAAGAACATGAATATATCAGCACGCATTAAAAATCAAGTACTTAATGTCACAGAGAAAAGCAGCATTTTATTTTATTTTTTTAGTTCTAGAGGTGTTGGCCGAAGGTTGGCATGCTGGGGCCACACTCCGGCAATGAGCACCTTCTAGTTTTCACAGTTGCTCTCCTGGCTTTTCTGACTTCTGCACCATGTTAAAGGAGCAGAAGAAACCGGTCAGTTGACTGTATAAAGCTTAGGTGGGTTTGCTCATATTGGTAACAACTGTTCCAACAGAATGAAGATCTGACTAGATCAAACTATAGAATTCTCATTTAAATAGAGCGCTACTGTATTTTGAACAAAGAATAAATCATCATGGGCGTAGCTGAAGTGTATGGCTTGACCTCCTTAGGCTTAACCCCACCACTACAACAAACTTTTTTGGGGGGGGCAATCAACCTTCTTCCTCTTCTAGCTTGAAGTATGCCAGCAAGAAGCCATCTTGCCCCCCAAAAAATGGAAGAGAGGGAGAACAGACAGCACGTTTTACAGCCCCACAGCTTTTTCCTCTTTGGCTAATAAGCTGTGCTGTGCTGCTGAGTTACCCGAATGAAAGTTGTCCTTCGACTAAGCTCCTTGAGTTTGGCAGCTCCCACGTAGGTGCAGGTAGACCGTAAGCCGCCCAGGATGTCACGAATGGTATCCTCCACATCCCCTCTGTAAGGCACCTCCACCGTTTTGCCCTCTGACGCTCTGAAGGTAAAGGCAGATTGATTTGCACTAGTAGGAGTCGTTCTTTTCAATGAACAAAAATCAAATTTCTCTAGGAATTTTTTTAAAAAGTGCTTTCCTTAACATGCACTGGATGTGGGCCTTTCAACAGCACAAGCCGCCTCCAAACACATAATAGTTATTTTTGCTTGTACAAGACCCACCGCCCAAATAAGATTAGATTGGTAAGGCAACCCTAGCAATGTGTTGTGCTGGTGGTGGTTGTGTAAAGGGGTGGGGAGAGGAGACAAAATTAAAACTGATAATGCAATTTTCTAAAAATGCTGTCAAAAAGTAATTTTAAGTCTGTACAGGGTTTTTTATACTTATGAAAACCTTCATAACATGCTTATTAGCTGATCCAATCTCCTTGACAGCTCCAGGATGAGAAAATCACATTTACTGGAGCATATCATGGTCTCTCTTGAGGTACTTTCTTCCAGTCAGGTGGGGGAAAAGATTATGCATCTTCAGTATAGTTAATATGAAACACTAATCTGAAACGGAGGCAAAATTATATAGTCTGAATTTCTAGGGCAGTCTGGACTATCTGACAAGGGCTCTTTCACTTGTTTGAAAGACAAGCTATGAAAGGAAATACGGGTGACAGCTTACTGCTGGCCCAAACATGTTATTGCACCCTGAGATCCCTATTACATCCAAAAGAAACCAGGGGATGCGATCTCCTGAATACTGATTTTCTTAATTTAAATTATTCCCATTTAGTAAACAGAACTTGGTGTATGGTTCTTGTCCGACAGTTGTGCTTTGCACAGGATGCGGAGTGTGTTGCTAGAGAAAAAAATTAATCCATTCTATAATAAACTAGAAGCCAGATGCCACAATACCACACAAAGGCACAACTAAACCCATTAGGCTTAAGCATTCATTTCTCTTGCATTGGATTGGCCATTCCATATAATCAGGCTTGCCTCAATTTACAAGACACTGGTCTGAATTCCAGACTGATTGCTAAGCGAGGATTCATTGCCCTTGTACTAGAGAGTTAGGGATACAGCCATGGCGCCTGCTGGCAATAACAAGTTGCACTTAGATCTCCGCTATTTGCTGCCAGGGACAACATCCAAAAATGAGGGAGCTGGAAGAGTGGAACTTAATTCTGTGCCAAAATTCTGAGTGCAGCTGGTACCTGTATTCTGCAACACCTCCCACATGCTTCTTCATGGCTGTGTCAGAGCTCATTCCATAGAAGAGCTTCACCTTCTTGCCGTTTTTTTCAATAATCTCTCCAGCACATTGGTCATGTCCTGCAAACATGCCCCCGAGCATCACAAAATCAGCACCAGCTCCTGTGATAGAAAGAGGGTATTAAGAGTTTTGTGTGCAGCAAAGAAGGCCAAAAGAGAGCATAGCTGAAATGCAATTCCTATCTGGCCAGGATGTATCAATAAAAGAAACCTAGTCATTCATGGGAATTTTATCATTTTAAAAAAGTAGGACTTGGATTACATGAGAGGGCATATGGAAATTGGTTCAGAAATGCTCATATATGTTTTCTACCCAACTGCTTCCTAAGGAAGGCCTTCTTCACACTTTGAGAACCAGGAGCAGAGAATCACAGAATTGTAGAGTTGGAAGGGACCCTGAGGATCATCTAGTACAACCCCCCTGCAATGCAAGAATATGCAGCTGTCCCATATGGGGATTGAACCTGCAACCTTGGCATTATCAGCAGTATTCTACCAACTGAGCTATCCAGACTAATGAAATGTTGCTGGCATGTATCTGCATGTACATAAGAATGTGATCAGAAGAAACAAGAATCCTGTGTTCCTTGGCCCAAATAAGAGACTAGTGAAACTTCCCATCTCAGCAGCTAAATGTGGTTGCCTCACCATTTGGAAATAGCTTCCATGCCACCATCATAAAGGCTGTGTGAAAGAAAGACGTAACAATTTTGTCGTTCATGTTCAACTAGAATCCTTCTGCCAATGGAAGACAGCTATCATCCCAACCTCTAGCATTTCTCCCCATTTTCTGCAGCTAGACCTCTTCAAGGGCAAACTCTGTTCCTGGATGATGATGATGATGATGATGATGATGATTACTGTAGTCAAATGCCAAGATCTAACATCTGTATTTCCATACATTTTGGGAGGTGGCACAATTTTCATTGCGTTTAGATGAAATTAGATTATGTTTCGGGGAAACAAAGCTTAAGAAAGTAAAACAGTGGAACCGCTTGAAGTAGTTTCTTGCTTGCCCAATTCCAGGAAAGGTTCCTACTGAAATAAAGCCATTTTTTTCTAGTAGCAAGGCATCCCCCTGCCTGCTTAAAACGTAGTGAGAAGTTGGAATAGCCTTAGCTATAGCTTTAAGGAAGTGAGTGATGTCAACATGGGGGAAGCACCAAATTGAATTATTCTGGTATGGGAGGATTTTAACCAAACTGAGGGCTCATCCTCATTACCTCTTGTCCCATGCCTAGAAAGCATGGGTCTGGGTGGTTTCCCCCTTGTCATACTCCTTTCCCAGGAAAAACCTGCTCTTTAGCTCTAAATCGGAGGAAATGTTAATCCAGGGAAAACCCGAATTACCATTTGCTCCAATTGAGCACTAAAAAGCAGTTTTCCCCAGGGAAAAGCAGTGGGACAAGAGCTGTCGATAAACCCTAACAGTGCAATACCTAACAATGTGTATTCAGAAGTCCTATTGAATTTCACTAAGGCTTACTCCCAAATAAGGCGGGTTAGGACTGCAGCCGAAAGCAGGGTGCAGAATCAGCACTTTGGTGGCACACATTCAGCAGATTCAGAAGTGAGCATCATTATCCCACCTCCACAAAGATCATGTAACTGCATGTAGCTTGTATCCTGTGTCAACCAACAGCAGGTGGCTTGGTGGAGCAGCAGCACTTGCCTGACCTGACAGCCGAATCACTGCTGCTTACATGGAGGGGCAAGGTGGTGGGGAAAGCAGGATGGTGGAAACACAGCAGCAAAGCCAATCTGCCGCCTTCCCCATTTTCGGCCAGGAAAGCAATATTCCTTTTTTGCAGCTGTGGCTTGTGGCTGCAAAGCAGTCCCAGCTTTAATTAGAATGGAAGAGCACACTCATGACTGCACACTTCTGAATGCACTCCTGATTTTTCCTTTGAAATGTGATCACCTGATGTCACATGAAGCCAGATGATTGACAGGTGGGCAGCTCTACCTGCCTATCAAAAATAGCCTACAAGGGGTGGGGGCAGTTCTAGACCCAGCTCACTAGCCAGATGCAGTTTCCCACTCCTGAGCTAAGCCATGGTATGGATTAGTACGTGTGAACTAGGCCAGTTTCAGTCTGCGAAGTAGTTTCCATTCTGCTTCCTCTGAGTTATGTGGAAGATAAATGGGAGGTGAGATCTTTAATCAGACAGTAGGTCCTAATGCTCTTCACATTTCTCAAGCAGCAAACAATACTCACCAAAAGCTTTGGCAACATCTCCTGGACAGCTGCATCCTCCATCCTACATAAAAGAGGGAGAGAAGTCAGTGTCAAAGTTTGCATTTGTTGTAGCCCAATAGTTGTATCCAACGATACCACAAACAGTTCAATATCAATAGATAACTGTTTGGAATGAAATGACCACGCACCTGTCTAAGCTGGCCCATGGGAACAAGGAGATAAAGATTTGGCCCACCCAGGCCAAAAAGGTCCCCCACTCCTGTTGTGGCTCACCATGAATGAGCAGGGTTTTGTGGCAGGCACCTCACTTTTCCTCTGGCGCAAGTGGGAGTAACAAGCCATATTAGAAGGACGATGGTTTGTTTCTCCTGAATTAAGTATGATCAGAAAGCAAAGAACAGATTTTGACTTTAGGATCAATGTTTCTTTGGGGACGGAAACCACAATTCCAGATTCAGACATGGCATCCCAGGCTTTGCTGCTTCCACTCACCCCAGAGAAGAAGTGAATTGGGAGTGATTGGGCAGTTGTGGCCTTAGCAAGCTGCCCATTCACCCTAAGCCATAAACCATGGTTTGCCAAAAAACGTGGATTAGGCCACTATGTTCAGACATAAATGGTTTTGGTTTTTTTTTCATCAGAGAGGCTATTGGAGGAGGGGACCAAGAAAACATCCCTGCTTGAGCACAGATCTCCTTGGGCAAATTGCTTGGCTAATCCATCCATCCATCCATCCATCAGCTGCTATTTGCATATACCCTATAATATGTGATAACTAACCCTCAAATAGGGAGGGATGGAATACTTTGCTTTTCAGACACGGGTTAATTTGCCTCCTAGGTAGTTGCATATTTGTTAAAGAAACTACATGGGAGGGAGGAGGCACAATTTTACTGTCCCATTGCAGGTTGATTTTATTCAGTTTATTCAACATTCATAGAACTAAAGCCTTCATGAAATTCTCATTTCTTCAACTGTGGGGAGGAAAAATGCAGGAATATATACTCATTCCGGAGACGAGATGGCAGGGGGCACTGCTCTTAACGTAGTCTATCATCTAACCAATATCTGACAGTGATCTGAATACTAATGCAGAGACATACAAGAAGCAGATAAGCGTTCTACCAAATACTCCTCATTTTTTCTATCCTTTAAAAAGTGGTGACCAGACTAGACCACTAAATGGGACCCATCAAAAGAATGCAGAGTCAATTCCAACTTCTGAGCCAGAAGTTAAACTCTTTGGATCTCTTGGTTCTATAATATTCCCCAGCCCTGAAGCTGGCTTTGCTACTTTTAGATACTGTGGAACCTCCACAAAATGGTTATCAAATTGGTTTCAGCTGGAAGGGCAGGTTGTTTGAATGTACCCTATTCCAAAGCAATGCTGGCTGGGACTCCCGTCTGGCATGATAAATACTGGCTCTTGCCACAAGAGGGCACTTCAAAATATATTCAGTCTCCCAAACTGACACAGTTAAGTCGCCTCATGTTGATTTTAGTAGGCCTCAAAGACATGTAGGAATTGGCTCTCACATTTTCTAAACTAAAGCCAGATTAGCCATTACTCCAACATCCTTGCAGCAGTTCCTCACTCCCTAATAATATATAGTAAAGCAAAATGTGTAATACGACACCATTACACCTCAGGTTTCCTTTTCCTTATAAAGTGTCAGAAACAGATATGAAAGCTAGGAGCTAAGTGGCACCTTAAACCTAGGTTATGGGCGCAACAATGGAATGTCTAGGCACTATTTTTTATAACAAGAATACAAAGATGAAAATAAATGAACTTGCAGCTAAAATACTATGTTCATTTTTCACATGGTCTAGTCCAGGGGTCTGCAACCTTTAAGACAAAAAGAGCCACTTGGACCCGTTTCCGAAGAAAAAAAACCTGGGAGCCGCAAAACTCGTCATTATAAAAATAACTTTTTGTCACTTTTTTTTATTATTTCTTTGTTTGACCTCTCAGAATTACTCCTCCTCATAGAAATAAACGTTAAATTAACAAGTTGCCTTTTTGTGTGTGTGTGTTCTTTACTCCCCTTCAAAACAGTGACCAGCGTACATGCCCCCTTTCAATGCAGTGACCAGCGTACATGCCCCTTACAGTGTAGTGGGTGGGCGGGTGGGAAGGTGACGTCGGGACGGTGCTTGACTAACGCACGCACCCCCATGCGACGTCACAGCCAGTACAGCGCACAATGCGCCTCCTCCCCTCGCTAGTATCCGCCCCGGAGCCGCGGCAAAGGTGTAAAAGAGCCACATGCGGCTCCGGAGCCACGGGTTGCAGACCCCTGGTCTAGTCCTTCCCCTGCCCACCCTGCTAATATTCTTAAGAGGGTCTCTTCTCCAGTCTTCAGAGAGTAGCTGAGAGTGGGAAGGCAGAAAAAGGTCCTCCTTTCCTTCCACTCTGCAGTTTTCATCTGAAATCTTAGGCTCAGTACTGTGCCCAGAGCTCAGAAAATGCTCGCCCTCATGAAATTCCCTGTCGCAAAATGCGCCTAGAACAATGGGAGTTTCGAACACTGAAAGTGGAGCAGAGATGGTGAATACTAGAGTACAATGACATGAACATATTTTGCTCTAAGACACGTTACTAGAAGATGCAGGGACTCTGAGGTTGCCTCTTTTCCACAGCAGGTCACGTGTCTCCAGCAATTTGTCCTTTCAGCCTAAGTAGCTGGGGCTCACTACAAAGTATGATGGCTGACTCCTTGGTTCTTTGCTGAGCTGCCATAGGAGGAAACCAAATAGGAACTAACTGGGTAGCTTTTCCATCATTACTCTGGCTTTTTGCTACAGGTTTGGACCAAATAACAGATCATCACAGAAGAACATTTTCAGAGGGTAGCTGGCTTAGTCTGCTGTGGCACAAAGAGCCTTATGGCATGTGAAATATTTCAAGAACTAAAGCCTACTTCATTCAGAAATATATACTGTTATAGATTTGGGCGACCCCCCCCTAAACACTATAAATTAATAAATGGTAGGATTTTGATTATCTGGAGTATTGAGGGGAAGATTGGAGGTCAGTGGAAAAGTACAGGCTAAGATTGCTTCCCAAGCCAGGGCCTCACCTGAGATAGAGGCATTAACATGACAAAATGGGTTGATAGCCCATCTGAGAGCCTGAGCCTGGGCAGACAGAGGTTGCCAACTTGCCACAGTGGTGGGGTGTGGGTTCGAAGCGACAGGAGAGTTTTGAGCATGGTGTGCTGGGAAGAAGAGAGGGAGAAGAAAGACAGGGATCTATCTTGTGAAGGCTGGCTGGGAGAGATGCCTTGGACTCCAGGGCTGCATCACTGAGGGGACAAGACCCTCTTGAAATGACCATACTGTGAGAACTGGACTCCCTCCATGCATGCTGGAGGTGTAACTAAGTGAATAAACCATATTTCTTAAAGCTACAACAGTCTCTGCCATGTCTCTATTCTCCAAAACAACACAGACCCTGGGTGAGTGCCTGGAACCCCCCGGAAATCTTGCAGAGTGTGGGGGTGGAACATTACTTTTGTAACAATGCATATAGACATACATGCACATAGAGAAAATATGAAGTGGGAGTTGAATGGCAATGAGATGCAAAAATTACAGTCAGTAACAGAAGAAAATATCTCTCATATGTCAAGAAGCTGCCTTATACTAGACCAGATTATCTGCCTGACTAGCTTAGTATTCTCAACTGTTGACTAGCCAAAGCTGACTGGTCTCTTAGTTTCCCATGACCTCCAACCTGATTCTTTTAACTAGAAATGCCAGGGATTGATCATGCATTCTACCAGTGGGCTGTTAGGGGATCTGAATGCCCAAGCAGTCATCAGAGTCCAACCACTTACAACAAAAGCAACTATAGAGTTACCAATTCTTCTTTTGAGACAATCTTTACAATTCTGACAGATACGTAAAAGATTTGGCTCCTCATCTGGCATTTTAAAAGGGTATGAAGGCCCTTATATTATTTATCTGCAAAAATATGAACTGACATGGAAAACTAGCTCAGGTGAGGAAATAGGAACTTGTGAAAAATAATCTTTTTTGTTGTCCTAAAAACCAGCAGGGTTTATGAAATAGGAGATTCAGTTGTGTCTGCTTCAAAGGGGCAGAAAAGTAAGAGGAGACAGTTGTTTAGTCTTATTTCAATCACAGACACATTAACGGGCACAAATAACTTCAGGAAGAAACCAAACAACACCAAAGCTTCATCTAATGCAAACACCAGATAACCAAGGGGAAAAGGCCTTTGGGAGACCTAGGCATAAATTGGTGTTCTTCCTAAAGACATATCGTAGAAGTCTTGGAAACTTATTTAAAATGTGTAATGTGCTGTGTTAGTTAAATAGCACTCTTTCCATATGAAATTCAAATTGTGAGTGGCCAGGGCCAGCCATGAGGCGGAATGAAGCAGCCACCTCAGGTGACAGAAAGCGGAACTTCTGCAGTTGCCTCACCTGCTCTGCAGGAGAAGCGGTGCCGGCATTGGTGCCATTTTTGGTGAGATCTCACCCAAATCTCTCAAGATCTCAGAGGGAATCAGAGCCAATACAACTTCACCGGCAGGGTGGCACAGCAGCGGAGCGGGTGGCGCAGCAGTGGCGCTGGCAGAGGCAGGTGGCGCAGAGGCAGGGTGAGTGGCAGGGTGGAGTGGGGAAGCAGATCCCATTTCACCTGCAGTGGCAAAACGGGGTGCGCTGTCCCTGTGGGTGGCTTGACAACTTAGAACATGGGTGCTCCTTAGAAAATAAAGATATTTCACTTCCTTGTGAAACTGGAACTCATCAAAACCTTGAACGTCAACTTCATGGCACCTCAACCTCATATCACTATTTTTTGACTAAGGCTCTTTTTCCTTACCAAGCTGCTACACATCCCTCTTCTCTTGGAAAGCATAAATTAGATATGCACTTTCACAGACTATTTTGCTACCTAAGGAGTCAGTTCACAAAACGGGGTTGAACTACTGGACACAAAGGCATGACTCAAAGGTCTATTTCTGAGCAGTTGGAAGTTAGGAGCCAGAGTTTCTAACTCATGCCTTTGAAACACCCCTGAGCTCAAGAGGTCTCAAGAGGTCAGAGATGACTGCGGAAAGGGTTTCCTTAAACATCTTCTTGTTGGGATGTCATTCTATAACCCTGCCTTATTTATGGCATTTCCTGCAGATCATACTTACGGATATTATATGCCCCTTCAGTCCATGAGCAGAATCTGCACATTCAATCACTGCGCTCAGCTGTGGATAACCCACACCAGTTTTTATCCGAGTGGTGCACACAGATCCTAGACATTGAAAACAAACAGATGGAAAGATGAAACCAAAGCTATGGTATCTTGTAGATTAGGGCAGGTGAAACCACCGGTGTCTTTCTCCCCTGTGGGAGCAGCTCTGTCATTATGACAGCCCACACAGCTGCAAGATTCTTTCCTTTTCAACTGGCACACCAAATTTTTACTTGCAGGAGAAGCACCTGACTCCACAGAAGGTGCCCAATAGAATTCAAAATGCCCTTGGAACCTTCCTCCAGTTTTATGAGGAACCACCGATTACCACTCTTTATGTCCAGTTTGCCAACCAGCTGCTAATCCACCTGACCGTGGTGGCATCATCTAGCCTACATTTAAACAGGTTACTAAACCAAATATAACGGAGAACCCTGCCAAAAGCAACGTCTCGGCCATGTTTAAGAAATGGACAGGAGGTCACAATGTTGCACATCCCCTTCCCTCTTCTGTACAAAATCCCTCTGCCCTTCCTCTGCAAGCTTTTACTACAGTTAAGCATTGCGTCAGCAATACTGGTGGTTAATGCTAACCAGAGTTCCCTCTTAATCCTGCAAGTGCCATTAGAACGCATGATTTTTTAAGAGCTGGCAATGGAAGGGTAGGGAAATTGATATGTGGGGGGGTGGGGGTGGGAGCAGGCCAAGATGCAGCCTCCTCCTGATCTATGGTTAATAAATTGGAAGTGTTAAGCCTACATCAGCTCCAACTATGCTTGGCTTACATTGATGTCTTATTTCTGGGCTTAAGGAAGTAAGGTTTCTAAAGACTTTTACAGGCAGGAAAACGGGCACTGGGGTCACTCTAGCTCACCACAGGCTTTCAATCTAAGTGAAACAATAAGATGAGCCTACTAATTTCTGCCTAAAAATGATAGGACATCAGGAAAGAGGTTTCCCCTCCAATTCATATGGATGAAGAGGTCTGGGTAGATGAGCCACCATTTCCAAAAAATGGCTAACTTGTACAGCTTAAGCCAGTGGTTTTCAACCAGTGTGCCATGGCACCCTGATGTGCCTTGAAGGATGGTCAGGAGTGCCATGGGCAACACTGGCCTGTGTCCCTCTTTCCTTCCCTCCCTCCTCTGATGCCCTCTCATGTCTCTGCCTCCCAAAGGCTTGCACGGCTCTTTGTTGCAGTAGCCCTGGCTACAAGCTCCGCAGGTGAATGGTGCCTCTGGGGCTGGCCAGGGGGTGCTGGTTGCCAGGAGCTGAGGCAGCCTCAGAGCATGCAAGCAAGCAGGCGAGGGAGCCAAGCCAGTCCACCAAACCTTGCTGCTGGCAATGGTCAGACAAGTCATAGGCCCCTGTGAGGCAGTGTGAAGAGGCACCTCTTTTGGGGGCGGGGGGGGGGGGGCTCAGAGACCAGGGGCGGCAGCAGCAACTGCCCAGAGGACTTCCAAGGAAAAAGAGGAGGAGAACACTCCACAAAGGAGGCTGTTTGAAAAAGGGTGAGAGGCTGCCAGCTCTTTGGACAAGGGGTGACATAACTGGGCTCCTGAGCCCAGTTGGCCAAGGAAGGCGTGGAATCAAAAAGCTTGAAAACCTCTGGTTGAAGGTGTTTTTAATTTTGAAAGATGGGCAATTTATTTCATGGCATTGAAACACTATAGCACAGCTTGATCACTGGGCACATGAGAATAAATAAATCACTGGTGGTGATTTATTTATTCTCATTCGTTCATTTCTATGGCAGTTTTAGTGTTTAAAGTACATGGCAATCCTTGTTTTATTCATCCTATAGCGACCCAGCAAAACAGGATACTACTGGTTCCATTTCACATATGGAGATCTAAGGCTCAGAAGATGCAATCTGCCAAGCGCTATTGGGCAAATCAGACTTCTGGCAGGAGACAATCAAGGCAACTTAGCGGGGGAACACAATCTCCTCAACCCAAACTCTCTGTAGCTTCATCATTTTTGCTCTGAACCCCATATTCAAATGGAAAAAGGAGCACCCGGTTATGGAATGTAAGATTAGACTATACCAGCATCAAGGTGAGTAATGGCTACTCAGGTCCACAGGATTATTATAGGAAAATAAATAAATCCTCAGAGAATAAATATACATGAATGCAGAAACAAGCATCCCAGGCACATAAATATAAAACTGCACTCTCACTGTGCACTGCCAATCAGCTTACCTGGTCCAATTCCAACTTTGATAATGTCTGCTCCAGATAGAATAAGTTCTTCCACCATCTCTCCAGTCACCACATTACCTGCCTGAAACACAGGCAAGAACATCAATCCAAAATTGAAAGAAACACTGAACAAATGCTTGGGTTAACGGGATTATTGTTATTAGTGTTGTTATTCAATAATTCCATATACAGTTTTGTTTATATGAAGAAATTGAGTTTATTTCCGAAACAACCACACTCATTTAAAGTGTGTGTGTGGGGGTGATTACTGTAATAGGATATGTGTGCCAACTTATGTCCTGGGACGTGGGTGGTGCTGTGGGTAAAACCCCGAATCCCTGCGGCGGGGTGAGCTCCCGTCTTTCGGTCCCAGCTCCTGCCCACCTAGCAGTTCGAAAGCACCCTTAAGTGCAAGTAGATAAATAGGTACCGCTTTATAGCGGGAAGGTAAACGGCGTTTCCGTGTGCTGCGCTGGTGCCGGCTCGCCAGAGCAGCTGCGTCACGCTGGCCACGTGACCCGGAAGTGTCTCCGGACAGCGCTGGCCCCCGGCCTCTTAAGTGAGATGGGCGCACAACCCTAGAGTCGGACACGACTGGCCCGTATGGGTAGGGGTACCTTTTACCTTTACCTTATGCCCTGGATCAACCAAAGACATTTTGCTCCTTGAGGACACTGGGGGAGGGGGACACCTATAACAGTTTTAGGAGGCACATGGGGAGAAGGGAAAGGGAGAACGTTCCATTTCACAAGCAGAAATCCTTGTGCTGATGGAACATCTACCTTAGCGCTATGCTGCAATTCCACTCTAGGCAACCTACAACACATCATTATCCATAACTATGCATAAACTTTGTAGTTTAATGTAGCATTCCCCCATCGCCAAATCCTCTTGCCAAGAAGCAGCTTTCAAAAATCCCTTGAGTTTAATAATGCTCTGCAGTTCAACAGGGGGCGTGGGCTGAAAAAGAACATGGCTGAACAGCCTAGGAAGCTAGATCCTTGGTCCATCAAGCCTAGTACTGTCTGCACCGACTGGCAGCAGCTCTCCAAGGTTCTGGATATTGAACCTGGGAGCTTCCTCATGCAGATCATCTGCTCTAACACTCCAGCTACAGCCCCTTTTCTCCAAGTCACATTGCTGAATCATAGCTACTGCGCTCTAATGTTGGGAACCCATTCTTGGGAATGGGAATGACAGCAATAGTGATATTTAATAGAAGGATGCATAAAGAATTCAATTCTGTGGAAATAGTGGGACTGCAGTAGTTGCATGGCCTGAAACTGGAGTGGCCAGGTGACAAGCTACACCTGCTGAAATTCCTTCTTCTGTACAACTATTACAGATGCAGGAACCCTGTCCTCTTCTTCACCAGGCCATCCTCCATGAAACACGTTTATTTGAATCAAGAAAACATCTCACCGAATTAAACCCATCCATTTCTCCACTTTCCTCATCACACCTACCATGATTGTGTGCTTGGGGAATCTGATGCGGACAGCTTTCACGAACTCCACAAAGTATTCTGAATAACCATTGGCCACATCCAGGCAAATGTACTTGATAAGGGGAATGGCCTCTATGATTCTGGTCATCTTCTCAAAGTCGGACATGCCACTGCCTGAGCTCACAGCTACATGCTGGAAAGAGAGGGAGGGAGTGATCATCAGCAGCTTTTATTGAAACGAGGTCAAGAGCATTTTCTGTGCATCTATTTGAGAGAGGAAGCCAACTGGGACCATAAAATATTAGTGTATACCTCCAGGCTGGGGGAAGAGATTTGGCCAAATCTGAAAATCGAGTGCAATGTAAGAGAAGTTGGAATTTGTTTCTGGAGCTTGGAACTGTGGTCTGAGAATTAATCAAAATCTTCCATTCCTAGTTATGCAGTCTGCTAATCTATGCATGATATTCATTCCTCTGGAGCACGTAACACTTTGTCCTCCTTTCTTTCCCATTTAAATTTTTTCTATCTATAAAAACTCTTGTTTGTGTTCAGTGATGCTGGCAAAGAAAAATTGTTGGTAGCTTCTGTCCCATATCCAAACTCTTTCTTAGTTCATTTTCCACTCCTCTGGTCCTTTACAACATTGTCTTGAATACTGTACACTGTTTTCTATTTTAGTTTTCTTTTCAAGCTGTTTTTAATATTCCCTCTGCGGCAAACAAGGATATTTTCTAGCCACTTCTGTCATTCCAAAACAAGCCAGGATTTGGCTTGTAAGTTAGCCATAGCTTCACATTATGTGCGAACTACAGTTAACAGCATACCCAGAAGCCAGGATATTAAGCCACAGTTTAAAGATGGGTATCATAGCAACCCAAAAGGCAGCCAAAGGCCAGCTATGGAGCCACTGGCAGCAGTGTTAAGTGGTGCTCTGCCATGACGGAGGGAGGCCACCAGCAGGATGGCATTCGCACCACTGGAGGTCTCCCTAGCAGAAGACTTCAGAAGGAGTCCTGCCACAAATATTCATTTGTCAGCACTGGGGAAAACTGGGCAATTCAAGGGTGTGCTGGGATATGATGGTGAAGCTATGGAGCAACAGGATTTAAGCCCTCTTATTTCCTCAACACACCATCACGCAAAACTGAACTTGGAATTGAATTTCCTACTCACTGGAAGAGGGCATTTAAAAAACAACTTGAAGTAAAACAAGCGTGGAACCAGTCATGGTAAACAATACTGAGCTAGATAGAACAACAGCCTGTCTCAGTATAAGGCAGCTTCACTAGGCTAGTGCCATCAAATAAAATGAAATACATATCTAGCCTGCCTGGATTATTTTCCTCACTCTCTAACTTACTCTATGCTAATCTGACACAAACTTGAAAACTTCATTATCACCTCATTCACTTCAGTGATGCTGGTGCCCTGGCAAATGGTATCTTCATCCTGCTCTGAAAAAAATGTCCCAGAACATCCCATTCTCCCCCCCCCCCCCCGAGTATTTTATCACAAGTATTACCAAAGTTTTCAGGGAATCTTTCTTTCGCACTGTTATCTGTCTTCTATCTTATTGCCTGGGCCCTAATTCTCAAAGTGCATGCTGTTTCAGAAAGAATTTCATAATCTATCATAATGACATTTGGGCTGATTAAGATTGCTGCATCAAATATATGTTTGCCAGTCCTGGTTTGAATTTACAGAATTATGTTCCTTGGCTCCAGTCTAATTTTGTTGAAATGCAACCATACCTATTTCATCCATTTCAATTTCACTGCCAACATTCTATTAAAAATCTCATAACTGTTCCCCCTTGCTGTAATGTTATTCAAAGATGCTCATTCATGGGCGTAGGCAAGGGGGGCATAGGGGCAGCTGCCCCCCCCATCAAGTAAAACAATATAAATACTTAACTAACTGACCAAACATGTTGGTCCTGCCCCCCTAACAAAAGTCCTGCCCCCTCCTCAACACAAATCCTGGCTATGCCCATGCATTCATTCTTAGTTTACTGGAGAAAGTTTTGTTAACACACTTTCCCCCTAACTTTTATGAACATTTTCTACAGCTAAGCTTTCTTTGTAATGGTTCTATTATATATATATTATATTCCCCATAGGAATGCTGAATAAACCACTTAGCACAATTATTTTAAGAAAGACACTGCTCCCCTTACAAAACCATTTCTTGCAACCAATACATGTTGTTTTCTTCTTTTTCCATTTTGTATGTGTGCAGTTTTTCCCCAAACTCCCAAGTTTAGAAAGCAGTAAATGCACTTAATAATTAATAGTGTGAAAATATACCTCTAGGCATTCTGGGTGATTGCTTGCAAACAGCTCCCACTGTTCCAGAGAGTAATGCTTGTGAATTGCAGTGAACATTGCATACTAGAAAAAAAGAAAGCAGGTATTACCCTACAATCTCAGGCAGCAACGCACACAAAAAGACTACATGGCTACAAAGCAAGAATATGTTATGGGATCTTATTTTTTTTAATTTAAATTAGTTTTTATTAAAGATTTTATTGTGTAACAAAACAAGCAAATAAAGAAAAGCACATATAGTGTCTCCACTTTCAATTTGTAGTCTTTTTCTCAATTTGTTTACATTCAGTATGAGACACTGTTGTCATATCCATGGTTTAACAGATATTTAGAAGTACTTGACTTTGCTCCTACTTTGCCTATTTGCAACACATGCAAGTCAAAAGAAAACTGGAATCTAAAATTATTTTGCTTCAAATATGTTTTTTGTTTGTTTGTTTTGGAAACAATGGACCAGCTCAGGTAACACACTTCAGGGTTTTATTTTTCTTTCTGTTTTGCAGGAGAATTAAAAAGCACTTACTTTAGTCATAACCTGTGCCATTTCAAAAGTGCCTACGGTGTCCATATTTGCTACTATAATGGGGATCCCAGTGTAGGTTTGCTTAGAATTACGGAATGTGAAAGTACGCATAAGATCCACCTGTAAAAAAATAAATGCATATTTTAATCAGTCTTTTGTACCAGCAAAGAAATACAGCTTTAATACGCTATTCAGTTGGGGGGGGGGATTCACTAAATGTAGAATTGAGGCCTTTTAAACATAAAAGGAAGGAAATGCAAAATTGTATTTCTAAGTAAGCCAATCTCAGATTTAATGCTTATCCAATTAGGAACATGTCCTCAAGATGGTCAAATCAAGTTCCTTTTTTCTAGTTTTCTACTACATCCCATTTAAGCTGTTGACTGGTCTAATGTAAGTTAAGGACCTGAAATTCTCAAAGTCACCTAGAGCTGAGCTGGAAATGCCCACTTTGAATAGTTTTCGCCAAATATTCTTCACCTTTTTTTTTTAAAATTGAGACTTGGCACTCCAACACACAATGTGCTGGAATCACCAGCCCAATGTCATTACGGAGCATGAAAAGTAGCAACAACAACAAACCTTTAGGAGAAAAGCAAAAAAGCCGTGCTAGTGCCACCACTAATGGTAAGCTCCATCCCCAATAATTATTGCAATATTTCTTCTCACTCTATACAAATTTGGTGAAACGGCCCCCAATTTCCCTGCCCACAAATGGGCTGAACGAAGGCCTTTAATGCATATCTCTACCATCAACACACAGACACCAACGGGTCTTAGCAAATGCTACCAAAGGGTTCGCATTCCCCAGTTAGGACTGTTTGCTGTATGGGATCAAGGTCTCCTTCTGGATGCTTAAACTGGCCAGGAATGCATTTTATCAGCCTTGGTCTTTTCAATAGCTTACCCCTATTCATGAAAGAGAATTGTTTGACCCTCGTACTGCATGTCCTACTAACCTTCCATCCAAACTGCAATACAGAGAGCCACACTTCAAGCCTGTTCACAAGTTGTGACTGGTCCACAATACAACAGCCACGTTCGATTACAGGGCTTAGATGCAGGAAGCAATACTAATTTTATGTGAGCTACACTGGTTGCCAATTTACTATCAGGATAAATTCAGTTTTTACTTTTATCCCGCTTTATACTCCACCCACCAGGTAACTTGAGAGAGCATCTTTTCCATATGTACTTAATAAAATCCAGCTCAGTTGAATCATCAGTTAGCCTGGTGGTCCACAGATTATAGAACCAGCTGCCTGTTCCATACAAGACATTGCCTCTTTTAAACAACCTTTATAGGTTTGTCTTTTTAAATAGGCTGTTGCTGTTTAATATGCCTAATGGTTTTGTTTGTTGCTCTGCCTCAGTTTTGGGATGGTTTTATTGTTATCGCTTCTCGGCCTATTAGCCAAGATGATGTGAAAACACTATTATATTTTCTGTTAACTGCTGTTCTCTACCTTGAAAAGCAGTGTATTGATAAGCAGACTATGCATCTCCCAAATAAATAATTAATAGGTAATTGTATAATGCTGGACCTCATTCATTACAAGCAGAACCTGTATCCAATGTCTCCCCAACCTCTCTGATTTTTTGTTGGCAGCAACATAGGCTCATCCTTACAAGTCAGGAATTAAAAGAAAACAGAAGTCACAGAGGGGGACATAATGTCTGCCTCCCTCTTAACTCATGAGTAAAGTGATACCTAGAATTAATACAATGGCCAACCAAATATAAATGGCTGAGTTGAAAAGGTTTAAAATATTTGTTACCCACATATATATATATACAAGCTCTTGGGTCCCTGCTTTGCAGCATTCTCCCCTTTTAATATCCTCAACTCAACATCTAAGACTACAACTCCCATCATCGCTAGCTAACAGGACCAGTGGTCAGGGATGATGGGAATTGTAGTCCCAAAACATCTGGAGGGCCGAGTTTGGGGATGCCTGAACTAAGAGCAGGATCACACCTGCCTTCCCCACTCTTATCCCATACATCTGAGAGCTAGCTTGTGGACCATGAAGAATCTCCTATGAATTATACAAATAATCAATAGCTAGTGTTCCGTTTCCTGAGAGAGAAGCAGCATATTCAGAGTTACTCTAATTACCCATAACTTCTGTGGCTAAATTCCCACATTTTCTCTACCTTCTACCGTTGTGAAATTGTTGGCTCCCCTTTATCCCATACACAGCCCAACAAGACAATGACAAAAATCCATCAACAGCATACAAATCAATGGCTAACATGATCCAAAACACCCACCCACCCCACTCACACATGAAAACAAAGATCACCACAGCCAATCACAAACAAACAACCACACCCTAGGCCAACCCCAACCTTTCGCACCACCAAAGGAACACAAGTGAATAGCAGAGAACCTGCACAAGCAACGCTGACACAAAACCCCAAATATATTAAGTATAATAGAAGCATCGCCACCTGACCCCCCCACCCCCCCACCTCTTTCCCCCTCTTCTTCCTAATGTCTCATCAAATGAAACTGATCTGTAAAAAATGTTACGGGGGGGGGGAGAGGGAGAGAGAGAGAGAGAGAGAGAGATTGCACATACTTTTCTAAACCAAGAAAATCTTTAATAAAAAAGCATTAAAAAAAAAGAAAGCAACTTGCATGTTACCATAAGCAGTACGGTCAAACTAGGCAGCCAGATATCCCTTAATTTAGAATATTCTCCTTTGTTTCAGAACGGAATGTGGCAAGCAAAACAGAAATCAGTCCTAAACAAGCATGCCACCCAATTCTATACACAATTACAACCCATAAGTTGGTAGCCAACTAAATCATACTGAGTAGACCCATTAAAATCAATGGACTTGTAGGTCATGACTAACATACACAAATTATTTCAAAAGATCTGCTCTAAGTAAGTCAGCACAGTCCTAACCATGTTTACTCTAAAGAAAATCCTAAATGAACCAGGGCCTAAATTAATAGGGGTTGGATTGAAGCCTTATTCTAAAGTAAATACATACAGACTGAATTCTTACTTGGATGCAATAACCGCTCTACCCATTACACCAAAATAAACAAGCATGTGGCCTTATTTTGCAGGAAAATGCTGTTGGCTCGTTTACTTGTATGATATACGCAGCTGGAAACATTACATTTAATACTTTGGGTGTAGATACAAAACACCTGATGGCATGTATATCTTAAAGCAGCCTAAACTTTCTTCCATTGAAATCTATGTTAATGATGGCTACAAAAAGTTGGTTTTAAATTAAAGCTATTTTTCTCATTTAAAAAACAACTGGGTACTTTTATTTAGTCCTTACAGTACCCCATGGAATAGGCAATACAAAAGTGCCACTTATCTTTGGAATGTTGTTCCAAGTTGATAGGTAGATCATACCATGTAGGTCATGGTAAGCCTATTGGGTCAAGAGATATGCAACTCCAAATTCCAGAGGGATTTCCTACAACACTATTCTGGTTACAGAGATATAATGCCTGTAGTGTTTTTTTGAAAATGCCTTTACCAGTAGCAATGGTTGCTGGTGTGAATTATCCAACCACAAACTAGATTGCAGGGATTTTAATAAAGAAAGAAGAAGATTGCTGCTTTTATTGACAGCTGACCAAGCTATTCCCACCCACCCACCTCCAGCAGAAAACCTGAGTACAGTGGTACCTTGGGTTAAGTACTTAATTCGTTCTGGATGTCTGTTCTTAACCTGAAACTGTTCTTAACCTGAAGAACCACTTTAGCTAATGGGGCCTCCTTCTGCCGCCACGCTGCCGGAGCATGATTTCTGTTCTCATCCTGAAGCAAAGTTCTTAACCTGAAGCACTATTTCTGAGTTAGCGGAGTCTGTAACCTGAAGCGTATGTAACCCGAGGTACCACTGTATGCGTGTGCATTAAGAAACCTGTTGGATCAGACCAAATGCACATCATCAAAGCCTAGCATCCTGCTACCCAAATTGGGCAACTAAACAAGGCAGGCGCACAACAGCCTTCTCTAGCTGTTGCCCCCCAGGGACTGGCATTCAGTGGCACATTCCTTCTGTGAGCATGGAAGTTCCATTTAGCCACCATGGCAAGATCTATGTTGCAGACCTATTCTTCATGGATGTAGTTATTCTTCCCCTCCACCCACCCATCCACACACACACCCTTTTCAAAGTCTTTTTTAACATAGGATCTTAAATGTCAATTTATATTTAAAAGTTAATTAACTAAATCTGCTTTAGATGTCGAACATCCCATAAACTGATGCTTTGCAAACACATACATACACAGCTACAGCTAAAAGTTCATGCTAGTTTCAAAAAATAAATAAAAATGGACGCTTTTTTAATTTGGCTGTCAATTTACAAAAACACAAAAGTATCTGCCTTCCCCTCCGTTGTGTATGTGTGTCCTGACCTGCCTTGTCCTCACAAAACAGCTTCTCCCTGATATTACTTTTCCTGGAAACTGCAGGCTTGCGATGCATGGCTTGTAATTTGAGTCATCGCCCCCCCACTCCCGTCCACCCATTAGCCAGCAAATGATGTGTCACGCCGGCAGTTTCTCCGCGCCTCTCTGCAAAACAATTCCGAGCACAGTTCTACACAACTCTAGGTCACCTTCTTCCATCCACTGTATTTTCTTGCAAAGTAACAGCAGCAGCAGGAACAACAACAATAATTAAAAACGTTTTAGGCTAATGCCCCTATCAGGACAGCACAAGCAGTTCTTAGGGGGAAGGGAGGAGCTCACGTTTCACGTTTGCAAGGGCTCTTTCCTTGCAAGGAGGCAAAAGCTCCTGCAAAGGAGAAACTGGAGGGGGGGAAGTGCTGCCTGCCGTGTGATTTTATCTTAGTACGCAAGAGTCCACCTAACCTCACCCATGAGGTAACAAATGGGGGGGGTCTGGATTGCTTTATTCGGGGCCGCAGCGGGAAAGACAAGAGGCGGGAGAGAAGCAGACAGACAGCGCTCATTAACCCGTTAACTTGGGAAATGCAAAAACCAAGAGAAAAAGAGGTTATCTACCGGAGTTAGATGCGAAGTATTAAGGGGGAAAAAGCATGCTCGTTTGGAAAGGCCCCCACCTCTGCTCTGCTTTTGAGGCTGCTTCGCTTAGGTCTAACCAATACATCTTTAAAGTCCAGTTTGAGATCGGCATCTACTCGGGGCATCTCGCCGGTTCAGCTCGGGTGCAGGAGGGGCGCTCCTCGCCTCAGGCTCTCGGGCTGCAGTTGCTTTGGCTTCTCTTACCTCCCGCGGCGGCTCTCGCTCTCTCTCTTTTTGTTTGTTTTGCTTTGGTTAGGTATGCTTTGGGTTTTTTGCCGGTCAGCCCGAGTCTGGGGCGGGCAGGACAGAAGCAACCGAAGCTTGTTTTCTTTGCAGGGCGAGTATTTATAGGGAGAGCCGAAGGCGCGCGAGACGGTGCCGGATCCCCATCGCTTCTTTATTAGGAACGGGCTGCTTTTGGAATGTGCACAGGCGGCGCGGGGCAGGTCAGGTGGCCTCGCCGCCCGGCTCCTTTCCCCCCTCGGCTCGCCGGCTGCTCCGTGGCTCTGTGGGTGCCTGCGCGCTGCTACAGCAATGCAGCTCCAGGGGAGGCGAGCCGGAGACGCTGCAGCACTTCCAGGCGCCGGCAGCTGCAGCTTGCAGCAGCAGCAGCACCATTAACGTGATCGATAAGGCCGGGGCCGGGGGAGAAGGGACCTTTCAGGCGAGGGAATCAGGCACCGGGGTAGAAGCGGAGTGGGCGAACGCAGCTCCACATTGGAGGAGGAGGAGGAGGAGAATTAAGGGCAACCCAAGGGCAGAGGAAACAGCGCGCGGCCATGTGACCCTCCCCAAATCTTCTGCGTTTATGCACTTGTGCTTCGTCCTCCCTTTCTCTTTTTCCCACCCTCAGCCTGCTCCAGTTTCTTGTGTGTTAGCTCCTTGGGGGGATCCCTCACCCTAATTCCAGCTTTCTTCATTTGCTGCTCTGCCAGTCAGTTATGAAACAGCGTCTCTCTCTCTCTCTCTCTCTCTCTCTCTCTCTCATTCATTAAAGAAATAGACCACAGTTGCAGGCAAAACCACAGGCACACTAGTTTCCCCCACCCCAGTATTATCAATTGAGCACGTGAGGAACGTTACACTGACTTAAGACACTGACTCTGTCACCACTCACCAAGCTTCGTGGGCTGTGAGGGTTATTGAGGCCACATTCACTTAAAAACACTATGATAGCACTTTTAGCACTCATGGCTTCCCCCAAGGAATTCTGGGAGCTGTAGTTCATTATAGATGCTGAGCGTTGTCAGGAGGCCCCTGTTGCACTTAACAGAGCTGCAACTCTTGAGTTGCTGTAAAGAGGGATTGATTGTTAAACCCATTTTTCTAAAAAAAAATAAATGTTTAGGGGTACTCTCATTTTCCTGCTCATATTTAAATGCTGCCCCTCAATGAGGCCAAACTTAGATTCACAAAATGTTTAGGGGTATGTGTACCCCCCAGAAAAACCACTCAGAATTGACATTCTGTGAGGGGAATAGGGACCTCCTTCCAACTCCCAGCACCCTTAACAAACAGCTCTTATGACTGATCAAAATGATATCATAGTGCTTTAACTGTATGGTGTGAATGGGAACCTGAGTTCTAGTCACTACCATCGCCCTGACAAGAATGCAGAAACACAGATTATTTCCCCTGGTTATTTTGCACATTTGGGAGCTCACACCTACTTCTGTAGTATGTGGAATATGATTAATAACATTTTGCCATATTAATTACATACCAAGGTTTATGTCACTAAAAAGCCTGGCTTACCTAAAGCTAAGAGTTCCAGCAACTTGGGCCCCAAGAAATTATCTGGCCATAGCTGTCAAGTGTCCCTTTTTTGAAGGGATAGTCCCTTATTCTAGCGCCATGTCCCGCTGCTGTCCCTTATTGATAGATGTCCCTTAAATGATGTCCCTAAAATTTCAAAGGAAGCAGCTCCTCTCCCTCCCTCCTTGCTGGCCAGGGAGGAGGGAGGCTCCAGCTGTGTTGCTTGGCTGTGTTGCTCACCCAATAAGAAGTCTAAGAACGACGGGGGGGGTGGAGCTTGCATGCCTTGTGCTGATCAAATCGGCTGCGTTCCCTGGGCCTTTGCTCACCGCTTCCCAGTGGAGAGGTGACGGTGGTTTTCCTTGAGGCTTCGTTTGGCTGCTGCCTGGGCTTTCTGCCTTTGGCTCAGAGGGGCTCAGAAGTTGAACATACCTGTGCTGAGTGCTCGGATCGGAATCGGATGGATACGTCATCAACGGCCCACTCACCCTTGCCGGCGAAAAGGTCTGTCTGGAGTGGGGGCACATGGTGGGGGGAAAGGAAAGGAGATCTCGTGGGAGGGGGGCTTTTGAATTTGTTTTGGAGGCTCCTTCGATTGACTTATTGGGGGAAAAGAAAGGAGCTGGTTGACTAAAATGGTGGGTGACTGGCGATCTCGTGGCGAGGGGGGGAGGCTGTGTGGCTAGTTAATGCAAGCTGAGGAGGTTTTTGAATGCTGGACGCCATTTTGTTGCACGTGCTGCTGCAAACTTTGCAGTGCAAAGCCAGGCCGGGAGCCATCTTAAGTTGAGGCTGCATAGGCCTTGTGGTGCATGTGATTCAGATTCTATTCAGTTGAACCTCTGGTTACAAAGTTGATTGGACAGTGTTCTCGAAGCTACCAGCATGAGTTTGACCAGACTGCAGGAGGACAGGAAGACTGGAGTGCCTGGAACAGGTGAGGCTGCAGGTCCCTTATTTTGGCTGCTGGTCCCTTATTTTCAAGGCTGCTGGTCCCTTATTTTCAAATCTGTAAGTTGACAGCTATGTATCTGGCAAAAGTGAATATCGGAAGGAAAACAGTAGGCTGTGTTTCAGGAAGGATCTTTTGAGTTAATGCTGTGTCTCAACCTGTAAAAGCTTTAGTCAGACATGATTTGACTAGAACACAGGCAGCTTGGTGTGGCAATTCCATACAACCAGGGCTATTTTCCCAGGGGAAACTTACAGGAACTCTGTTCCGGCACTTCTCAGATGAGCACCATTGCCATTCTAAGAGAACGAGGGAGGTGTTCATAGTGAATTCTGGCACCTCTTTTTCCGGAAAAATAGCACTGCATACAATACATGCTCTGCTCCTAGGAAAAGATGCAGTTATCTGATTAAGCAGAAATAGAAGCTGCCTTCTTGGACCCCTATTGGTCTCATCTGCTCAATCTACCCAAGCATGTCTTCTCCTGCAGAGGAAGTCCCTAACTCACCAAGGGTTTGAAACCCATTGGCTAGAAAGTGTGAGACATCCAACCTTTGGATGAACCAACTTTCAGCCATGCACTTTTGCTGATTTACACTGAGACATAAAAAAGTTTCACTGGGTTTTTCTATGAAGTTATCTCAAAAACAACAGTATTTTTTCTAATGTCATTGTCTCTTTTAACCCCAGCATGCCTCTGTGTAACCTAATACTTTACAGCAGTGCAAAATTCTAACTTAATAAAGTCTACAAGAATTTCCTCCATTACCATCTGAATAAGTAATTTTTTTTTGCAAAGAAAGGTATAATGTCCTGCCATCAATTCAGGAACAATATTTTGTCCTTCACACATTTCATAATATCCAATAGTTTTATTGTTTTTATGGCTATGGGGAGCCTGTCTAGCCCTGTTACTGATGGCTGCGGATAGACAAACACTTTTTCAGTAAATGGGCCATTAGTCTATGAGTTCTCCAGTTTTCTTCTGTTGTTGTACATTTAAATGGCCTTAACTAGCTCTTGGTTTATTTTATTGGTTTTTTTCATTACTTATTTTTTATTTGTATGTTTATAAATTGTATATCTTGATTGTATATTAGTTGTATATTTTTATTTCTACTGCTGCAAGCCACCTTGGCTGCTACCACAAAAAGGGGGTATAAGTTTAAGAAATAAAAATAAATGAATATATGAATTTTCTGGAACAAAAAAAGCAATGAGGTAACTTAAAACTTTATATTCCCATCTCCAACTTCAAAGTTATAGGGGGTGTTGCTAAACTTTCTTCCCAACCTACAATATGATTTGCATAAATGGCAAATAATTTACATAATATGCCAAATAGGTCACTTGAATATTGGGAACTGCAGTATGGCAACCCTAACAACAAGTACATTGTGCACTAAGAACTAAATTCCAGAAGGATAATCTTCCAGAAATGTAAAGCTCAGGAGCTGAATCCTAGGGGAAATTTTGTAGAAAGTTAGGGTTTTCCTTCCCACTTCCGCTATAGCAATAAAACCTTTGTTGGTTGTAGTAATTCTCAACCAGAAATCTAGAATAAAGACAGTTTTTGAAAGGGGGTAAAAGCTAGTACAAATAGTTCTACATCTAAAAGGTCCACTGTCCAGACCTACATAAAGGAAAAGTCACTTGTGAGAGCTGAGAAGTCCTGCACCACCACCACTCTGATCTTACATAACTCAATTTTCTTAGTAAACAAATCCAATAAATTGATGCAGTGCAAAACAAAGGTCAGGGGGATAGTCTACTCACATGCCTCTCATTGCTACTTTTCCATTTTCTGCTAACTTGCATTATGCATTTTTTTAAAAAAAGGATAAAAGAGGCCAGAATGTGATGCCTTTTGGTTCCTTCAAAGACAGTGTAAAGATGCTATGTACTTTCCATCATGGAAAATGGCAAGGCTCCTAGCCGGGAAGCAGAGCAAGACTCCCCTTTGCAAAGGGGACATAGAGAGCTGAAGATAAATGATAAGCTGTTGATTTTCTGTAGTCATGCCCTGTACTGGCATTATCTGTTCCTTCCTTTGTAGGCACAACCCTATTTTGTCAGCAACTTGTGGCATTGTCCTGATAATTTGAGCACCTTATTTTTAGTTCAACTTCTTGAACTATCCATTATGCTTTAATTATGAGTTTTACAGAGTTGAAGATGAAGAATCCTGATGCAATCTAATGTCTAGCTGCCTTTATTTTTTATTCAATATTACGGCACTGTTCTTGTGAACAACAATTTTGCTGTATCTTCCACAAGTTGTTTATGTGCTGTGGATTATATCCAACTATGTTCAGAGCAAACTCATTGAAATTAATTGGCATGTTTAACCATGACCATTAATTTTTACATATCTACTTTCAGTAGAACTTTGTTGGATAATGCTATATTTTTAACCATTTTATATGATTTCAGCTTTTCGGTTTTGTAGGAAAATGACCCCTTTCCCTAATCAAAAGTGATTTAACACAGAAGAATGAACAACAACAGCATCGAGATAGAAGCTTAAAAGTACCCAATTCACAATAGCATCCCTTAGGAATGATGGTGTAAATATTTTGGGTTCCCTAAGTGGCTATAGGGTAGAATTTGTCAGCATCATAGAGAACCAAGTAACAGCTGTCTGATGAGACAAACAGTTTTCTTTTTTTGGGAGGGGGAGAAATAACATCAAAATGACATTTGGAAAGGGACACAATGTACATTATATTTATATACTAATGCCAGTCGCCCCAAGGCCAAGATGACAGAACTAGAATGTGGAGCACTGAAACAGAGCACAGATTAAGAGAACAGTCCTATGCACAAGAAACCGGCATAAAGCAAGCTGGTGTAAAATTACACCAGATCCAAACTCCAGAACATGTCATCTTTGCAACTCCTTGACAAGGAAACCACCTACCAAGAGTACCTCCACCTTGTTGGGATTTAGTTTTAGTTTACTGGCCCTCATTTAGTCTGTTACTGCCTCCAAAAACCAGTTCAGCATTCGCACAGCATAAATGGAATGGAAAGATAGAGCTGGGTCATGGGTGTCATCCACATACTGATGAAACTGTGCTCCAAAACCTCTGATGACATCTCTCAGCAGTTTCATATAGTACAGTACATATATTATTTTCTAGAGTGCTGTTGTGGCACAACCTCACGGCCTTCACAATGGAATTCCAGGTGAATTCGTGCCCACCCAGGGATGGTTGTGGGCAGCATTCCTGCATTGCAGGGGGTTGGACTAAATGACCCTTGGGATCCCTTCCAACTCTTCAATTCTATGATTCTGTGATTCGCTACAGCTCTGTACTTGGTTTTACAGGCTACCGTTTGAGTGATCAACAAAATATTCCTCTACATGCCCAATAGCACCATCTGCTGGTATGAAGCATGACAAATGAAATTACCATTAATTAAGACGTAATTATGTGT